TGACTGGAGGGAGATGGCATCTCTGTGTAGTTTTGATTTGCATTTCTCTAATTTCTAGAGATGTTGAGCATTTTTTTGGTATCTTTTTGACCATTCATATTTCTTCTTCTGTGAAGTGCTTTAATGTTACTTTTTAATACTTTGTGTAGGTCTGAAATATTGTACACTATCTAATACCTTCTATCCTCTAACAACCCCTAAAAGCCTTAGAAACGATTCATAATATGATCATGATAATACATGGCCCTAGTAGAAGCATACACACACACACACACAGAGACATACACACACACATGCATGCATGCACTTTGAGTCAGGCCAAACTGAAACACAAATCATATCTGATCACTTCCTAACTCAACAACCAAACTCACATCACACAATTCCCACATGCTCCTTTGTCTCTCTGAACCTCAGTCTCTTCATCTGTATATCTCAAATGCATGGTGGATCCCCTTTTATGTTACAGTCTATCCTCCCAGGCAGACAGGGCTGCTCAGGGCTGCTTGTTATCACCCTGGGACTATTTCATCATTTAATGAAGAAAAAAAAAATGCCTTTCCAAGTTCCCCTATACCCTTGGCAAAGCATTCATTGAAAGATTCTGTCTTAATTCCACTGTCTCTTCATTCAACTGAATCGAGCAGGTGCAGTGTAGACGGCTCTGGTGCAATAACGTGGATGGAGCTCACAAAGGCTGCCGGACTCAGCACACACCCTGGGCTGACGGGACCGAGTGTGAGCCTGGAAAGGCAAGTACCCCCATTGCCTCCCCCCACCCTGGGGCTGCAGAGAAAGTTCGTTCGGGGAGCTTTTGAAAATGTGAGACTCACATGAAGGCATGGTCATGACACCAGAGATCATTATTGCCTGCATGTAGGGACAGTCTCGCAACTGAACACTTCCCTCGTTTTAGCCATTCTGAAATCCTAATGCAGTGTGCAGGAGTGTTTTTTGGGTTGTTTGCTTTCTGTTTTGAGAGCGGCACTGCAAACTTGACGGAGCATCTCAGAATCAGGAGGAGCAGAGAATGGATTCTGTCCTCTCCTGTGACACCAGGCTCTTGCCAGCCTCTGCTGTTCCCTTTAAGGAGAGATGATGTCACTTGGTACATATCCAAGTCCAGATTCTCATGAGCTACTTGTCATGGTTCCCAGTGATTTTGTTAATAACTAAAMGAAATCTACTCCTTGTGTGGCCTGGGGACAGCTGTGTCCCACGCACCTAGGGGTATGATTAACTTACCCTCCTGTCCTGTGTACATCGAAAAATCAGAGTCATGAGTTAGTRATATCATCATCCCTCCCCCCAAAAATTTGGTGGCACAAAGTTTGAAAGATAAATCCTGATTCTTTTTTTTTCTTTTTATTTTGTAATTCTGTAAGGATGAATGCATTTAGCATTTACAGTGATCTAGTCGCTGGATTCTATTTCTGAGATTTGTCGTCTTTATATGTATGTAGTTCTTTTACCTGTTAGCTGTTTTACTCACTTTAATACATTTGTTCTCATCTTCTTTCCTTTTACTTTGTAGAATTATTAGGACCCAGAATGCCTCCTTCAAAGGGATCTTAATTGATGACAGGGTTTTACTCCCACTTCCCCATTTTTTTTTTTTTTGTACCAGGGATTAAACCCAGGGGCACTTAACCACTGAGCCCCATCCCCAGCCCTATTTTGTATTTTATTTAGAGATAAGGTCTCACTGAGTGGCTTAGGGCCTTGCTAAGTTGCGGAGGCTGGCTTTGAACTCTCGATCCTCCTGCCTCAGCCTCCTGAGCTGCCAGGATGACAGGTGTGCATCACCCTATCAGCACAATAGGTCCATTTTAATCATATTCTAGAAGAGTGGCCAAGTCTAACAGCTTTTACTGAAGGTGTGGGGATGTACAGGTACTCTTAAGATCATGCATTTTGCAAATGCTGGAGAAGGTACCCAGGCTGCACAGGAGTGCTTTGTGATTTTTCTTGTTTGGTGTTGATTTCACAGAATTGGCAGTGTGGGCCTCTGGTCTGCATGCCAGCATTCCGACTCCYGTTGCCGCTGGGTTAATTTTTTTTCTTTCTGTTCTCTCTGCCCTGCTCCCTCCGTAGTAATCCATCTTGAGCTGCTGACACAGTGTTATTTTGATGAATRACTCACTAATGTCTCTTTATTTGCTGTGCTCTCTTGTTAAGTCCATTAACATTTCACTTTAACCCTGTTTTTTGAGTCCAGAGAATCCTTGAATTGAAGTTGGCCTCCACATCTACCTTCCAACCTCTTAGATAGATGCATGGATATAAAATATCAGTTAAATAGTTTGGGAAACTTTTAAGAAAGGCTGACTTTTTTTGGCTCTAGTTCCACCAGCCACTTAAAGCTTTGTTATGATGTAATGGCAATTCCCATATGRAATTATGATTTGTCGCATTTGCCTGGTAAATAGTTTTTTTGTTTGTTTGTTTGTTTGTTTTATACTGGGGATTGAACCCAGGGGCACTCAACCACTGAGCCTCATCCCCAGCCCTTTTTATATTTTATTTAGAGACAGGGTCTCACTGAATTGCTTAGGGCCTCGGTGAGTTRCTGAGGCTGGCTTTGAACTCATGATCCTCCTGCCTCAGCCTCCTGAGCTGCTGGGATTACAGGCTGCTGCACTGTGATTGCCACTGTGCCCAGCCAGTTTTTGTTTTGTTTTGTTTTTTTTAAACATATTTCCAAAACATCCCCAGCTTGTGTCACCCTATTTCTCTGAGTTTCTTTCTCWGTTTCGGGTTCCTGGTAGCAAGATGGGAAGGCTGAATTTCACCTTGATTTTGTGTTAGTTAAGAATTTTGTTCAGGTTCAATCCAATTATTGTGTTTTAAGCAAATTGCCTCTTTATATGATACAAAAACTAGACAAGTTATGGAGCTATTATGTGGCTCATGCCTGTCATCCCAGCAGCTCGGGAGGCTGAGGCAGGAGGATTGTGAGTTCAAAGCCAGCCTCAGCAACTCTGCGAGACTCTATTTCTAAATAAAATATAAAAAAGAGCTGGGGATATAGCTCAGTGGTTAAGTGCCCCTGGGTTCAATCCCCAGTACAACCCTGCCAAAAGAGAGAGAGAGAGAGAGAGAGAGAGAGAGAGAGAGAGAGAGAGAGAGAGAAGAGAAAAAGAAATGGAAGTGTTAGGGCTGGGGTTATAGCTCAGTGGTAGAACACTTAGCATGTGTGAGGCCCTGGGTTTGATCCTCGTACCACATAAAAATAAGTAAAATAAAGGTACTGTGTCCATCTACAACTAAGGGGGAAAAAAGAAATGGAGGTCATGCTAGTCCCTTATCTGAAGGGCTGGAGGTCTGAAGGGGCCCAGATTCCAGAGTTTTCTTGGACTGTGGGATATTCACATGCACRTAGTGAGCACCTTGGTGACGGGACCCAGGTCCTGTGCATCTTGGACACACAGATTGAGGACAGTCATCCACAATATTTCTGGTCTCCCTTGGTTCTGATCAGCACCCATCACGTCAAGTCCAGTGGGGAACGGTGACCGTGGCCTCGTGTCCGCCCTKAACAAGTCTGGGATTGGGGGCCTTCTGGGTTTTGCGTTTGGGAACTGAGATAGTCAGCTTGCTCAGAGCAGTGCCTGGCCCTGGTCAGTGTGGATGCCCGCCGGCACCCCAATCCTACCTAAGCTGCACCCTGTGCCCAGCTGTTCCCAAGGCCTCCTGTCATCAGACCCAGGACAGCCTGGGCAGAGGGGCTCCCTTTCCAGCTGTGAACACGGACTCCCACCCTGCCCTGGGCCACAGAGCCAGTTTCCAGGAGCCACTGCTACAGCCAGGCCTGCTGACCTTTGGCCCCAGGCTGCTTGGTCCTGGGTGTGGCCACGTGTGGCTACCATGCACTTGAAATGCCAGTCTGGTCTGGGGTGCACTGACGAGTGGAATACAGCCAGGCTGTGGGCCCTAGAGGGCAAGAGAAAGCTTCCTGCAGTGGCCGCCTCTCATTCTGTCATCAGACCCAGGACATGTGTGAGGCCCTCGGTTCCCTGATACTTTGCAAGTGTTTGAGATATTGGGTGGTACTGAGTGTATATCAACATTATGTATTATTTATATAGTGATAGACATAATATGATGATATATGGTATATATATGATGGTATATTGTATGTGATTATTATAGCATCAATAATTATTAATATATATGTTATTATGATGTTATGTGTTGCATATAGTATATGCATGTATACATATACATATACACACATATACATATATGACATACATATCTTATATATCACATATAGTATATGTGTATGCACATAAGTATACATATAATATTTATGTATATCATTCATAATATTTGTAATATATGTGTTTATTATTTATAATTGTAATATATGTGTGAATATACATATATCACATGTATATTACATCTATATATTCATATATTATATGTATATTATGTGTATAAAATACATATGTGTATATAACATGTATATACATGGAATATATGCATGTATATGTAATATATATTTATAATGTTATACATATTAGGTATGTGTATGATTATGCATATATGTGCATATATAATCATACATATGTGTGTATAATTATACTCACATATATCATACACATATAATATATAAACATATATTAGCAATACAAAAAATATATGTCTATACATTCATATATAACATTTCAAACATGTGATATATATAATGTCTTTCCTAGGCACACATACCTATGATAATATCTGATTTCTAGATTTGGCATGGTAAGGGATTAACAGCAATAGTTGACAATGAAATAGAAAAATCAAAGTAATTTTTATACTGACTGCATGTAGAATTAATAATGTTTTTAGATATATTGGGTTAAATGCCATTAGGATTTATTTCGATTTTTGTTTCCAAAATGCTTTAGTGTGCTTCTAGAATTCTCTGTCCTCTCTTGGGCCTGGTTAGCTCCTCCTGGGCGGGGGCCCAGCCTGGCACCTCTGCCTCGGCCCTCCAGAGGCGGCTCTGTCCCCCTGAGACCCGTCACACAGCCACAGGCCGCTCCACTCCAGAGATCTGAGAGAGYGGCGGGGTGTCACCCTCCTGCAGCCACTGCCTTTGTCCACTGCTCGGTGACCTCGGCTTTGTGTCAAGGCTTGCCACCCCCACAATGGCAGAGGGTCCACGTGGGCCACTCCCTGTCCTGCTGAGGAGTTTAACTTAATTCTATTTTTGTAATATCTTTATTTTTTTTGTTGTTTATTTTTCTGTGGTGCTGAGGACGGAACCCAGGGCCTCACGTGTGCGAGGCAAGCCCCCTGCTAAAGCCCCAGCCCAGCCCCTATTTTATTTTTTATGATTCTTTTAAAATCATGGCCTCCCTCCTGCTCTCCAGGCTGCAGAAGCTGAAGCCTTAGTAACAGCAGCAACAACAACAAAGGAATCAACTTTAGGGGACCCTGTGAGGGCCCTTTGTACTTCCTGATCCTAAGTATTTTCTTGAAGTGAGTTTATAGAAATCATGTAACTACTTTTTCCCCTCCCTCTTCCCTGGTGAATTAAAATTGGGTTTTCAAATCCAAGGGGAGCTGGACAGGGTCTCACTGAATTGCTTAGAGCCTCAATAAGATTTGGGAGGCTGAGGCAGGAGGATCGTGAGTTTAAAGCCAGCCTCAAAAACTTAGTGAGGCCCTGAGCAACTCAGGGAGACCCTGTCTCTAAATAAAATAGAAAATAGGGCTGGGGATGGGGCTCAGTGGTTAAGCACCCCTGGGTTCAAACCCTGGTACAAAAAATAAAGATAAGAAAAGCAGGAAAGCATTGCTATTTTACCGGAGGCCTTGTGAATGGAGGTCCATATGCAAATCTCACTTTGTCCTGTCCTGCCTACCACCACCYTGCCAATGTCCACTCCATTTTTTTCCAAGATGGAGACTTGAGCAGTCTGAAGCTGGCCACTGGARTCACCCTGCCAGCCTGCAGCCCCTCACTCAACTGGCTTTTTTTTCCCCACAAGCAAGCTATACCCGAAGACCCAGCCTAATATTAAGATTCTTACAGGGCTAAATCCGCACAGTGCTCACTCTCCCTATAGATGGCACATGCGCAGCATTTCATAAACTATGGTAAAGAATAAAGAGATGAGAGAGGAAGGACGGCATGTTTAAGAGGACAAGGTCCTGCAGTGACTCCCGGCACCAGCCCTCCCTCACTGTCRCCCTTATTAAATACAGCACTGCAAGTATGGATTTTGTGTTCCCAAAGAAATGGAGGTCCCCGCGACTGACGGATCCTGGGGAAGTTGGAGTCACTTTGGAACCTGCTCAAGAACATGTGGAGGGGGGATCAAAACAGCCATCCGAGAGTGCAACAGACCAGAGTAAGTTCTAGAATTATCGTTGCCTGCCAGGGGTGGGGGGTGGRGACAGGGGGCAGGGGGCAGGGTTGGGGAGCTTCCTGGGGGAATACTGTAGCAGGAGGCTGACAGGACCATGGTCCAAGATAGTCAGCAGGTAACTCCAGGCACCTCTCGATCTTCTCCTTATTTAGCCYCCCAGGTCCTTCAGTGTTAGGTTGGTCTCCCAAGCAGTTGGGAGGTCTGCTTGGATTGGTGGGTCTGCTTCCCGGTTTTGGCAGTCAGATGGGTCTCAGTGCCACCTGAAGCGGGGGCCAGCTTGCTCATGGAGGGCACACTTACTTGCACAAGGAACTTTTTAAAACATACACAAGGCATATTCATCCAGAGTTCAGTTAAATAACACTGAGATGCCACAAAGGCTCCCAGGATCCTTTATGGCTATGAGCAGCAGACCCCAGATATCCTGGAGCCACAGGTCAGGGAATAATAATAATAATAATWATWATTATTATTATTATAATTATTTGATACCCAGGGGTGCTTAACCACTGAGCCACATCCCCAGCCCTTTTTTATATTTTATTTATAGAGACAGGGTCACAATAAATAAGTTGCTATAAATAAGTTATTTAGAGCCTCACTAAGTTGCTGAGGCTGGCTTTGAATTTGCAATCATTCTGCTTCAGCCTCCCAAGCTGCTGGGATTACAGGCAGGCTCCACTGCAGGGAATTACCTTTTGAATCAGTCTAAATTTATAGGCGAGACTCCTGGGGTTCCCATTCCATAGCCTGACTGTGTCCAGGTGGGGAGTTGGCCTACCTCTCAGTTCTCAAGATGTGACCCTGCAGCCTCTGCCAGCCTAGCCTTGCTAGCACTTATATGTTCCAGTAAGGCATGGATCTTGCGGGTTTTTTTTTTCCAGCATTTACTATGTGTTTGTCAGGGGTGTAGACAGTAAAGCATATCTTTACAGTAAAGCACGACATTTGATTCTGCATGAATATGCCAGAAGTAATGGTTTACATGTCACTTCTTGGACTTGTCATTGTCCAAGGAGTCTTCACAGTGTAGGGATAGCTTTAGATGTATAAATCAATGACTTTGATTGATTGATTGATCAATTGATCAATGGATTGATTGATTCAAAGTCTCCCTCTGTTGCCCAGTCTGGTCCCCAGCTCCAGGGCTCAAGGGATCCTCCTGCCTCAGCCTTCTGTGTAGCTGGGACTGAAGGCATGCACCACTGCACCCAGCCCATCTGCTTTGGGATTATGTAAAACAAGTCTGCCTTGAAGTACTCATTTATTTTTTTAATACTTTTGATTAGCGATAGCAAACTCAGTTTCGAAGAGAAGTAAAAAAGAATGAAGGGCTAGCAGACTATAAAAGTTTATCCTATCTGGGCATCATGGTGCACACCTGTCATCCCAGCAGCTCTGGAGGCTAAGGCAGGAGGATCGCAAGTTCAAAGCCAGCCTCAACAACTTAGTGAGGCCCTAAGCAACTCAGCGAAACCCTGTCTCAAAATAGAATATATAAAGGACTGGGGATGTGGCTCGGTGGTTGAGTGCCCCTGGGTTCCATCCCCAGTAAAAAAAAAAAAAAAAAAAATGTTTATTTTAGAGTAAAAGTGGTACAATTGTGCTGGGTGCTGCTCATATCTAATGTTGACAGTGTATTTTTTGTATAAGAAAAATCTGCATTTTATTTACAAAAAAAAACAGAGCTATAAACCACTGGTTTATAAGCAATGGTCTAAGTAAATGTTCTATGGTACAAATTATAAATAATGATAAGTTTATTTTTGCTCACAGTATAGTATAAATATCTTGTCTGTTTAATACTAGTCTTGGGCTGGTGATAGAGCTCAGTTGGTAGAGCACTTGCCTCTCATGCACAAGGCCCAGGGTTCAATCCCCAGCACCACCACCACCACCACCACACACACACACACACACACACACACACACACAAAATGGTCTCCAAGGAAGAAAAAAGCCCAAAGACTGGTTCATAAAACTAACATTGTAGCTATAGGTAAAAATGAATAAACCTTAGATTTTCTACATAGCATATCCTTTGCATTTTTATAGTTGGAGATATAGTGTTCATATTCAGAAAAATTCAAGCACAAAAAGTGAAAGTTTTTGACACCATTTTTCTTATCCCCTTAAGAAATTTCTGCTGAAAAATAATGTTTTTCTTTTTTTATATATATGCCAAAAAATAATTTGATGTGTATCAATTCAGACTTTTCAAACAGATTGCGGATCTTGTGTGTATTATATGAAATCAGTATCCCAGAATTTAAAGCGAGGCTCGTGTTACTTTTTAAACCTAACTATATATATATCCTAGCTGCTTGTATTGCTGAAGTTTAAAATCAAGTCTTTTGATCAACATTTGCTGTTGGGCTTCCGCTGTCACTCAGTGTGTAGAGCACTTGCCTAGCGTGTGTGAGGCCCTGGGTTCAATCCTCAGCACCACGTAAAAATAAACAAATAAAATAAAGGCATGCTGTCCATCTACAACTACAAAACAAACAATGAACATCAACAAGACCTTTGTTGTTAGCAGCAAATCCAGTGATTATTTTTAACGAATTAAAATTCATCGGGTGCCTACCTTGGAACCAAATTATATACTAAGTGCTGTATTACTATATTTCGAATAGTAGATGCTTTATAAGTGCTTCTTAAACTTTGATTCCAGAATATTCCATTCCAAAAGAAGTGCCCTTTTGGTTTGGTTTTGTGTTGGGATTTTTTTTTTTTTAAGTCTTAAAGCCATTCTTGAAGAAATGAGGAAAGTGAAGAGAGATAAATCACTCCCTAATTGGAAAGGGCAGACAAAGAAAATCACCCCAGTGTGAAGCTCTCACCAAAAGGAGTCTGAGCTTCAAAGTGAAACAAAGATCCTCCCATTCAGAAGTTAAGAGCCGGTCATTAAAGACCTCAATTAGAGGCCTTTGTCCTTGCTGTGTGCTGGGAGAGACTTGGGGAAAAATACAATCCACCTCCTCGAGGGTCAGTGCCACATCGTGCCATTGAAACTCCTCTGAGCCATTTGCTCTTTAGGGTGCTCCTGTTAATTGAGGAAAGGAGACTGCTTCTGAATACTTGGGGGGGCGGGCGTGCATTGGAAAAGTGAAAGGGACACAAAGCAGAGAAAATCCCGACCCAATCTCAGTGCAAAAGCTTGTTCAGAGAACTTCAGAGCAGAGGGCTCATTTTGTATAAGGTGGAAGTGGTTTCTTCTGGCTCCAGCCCTGTGAGCTAGAAGATGTGTTATCAGGACCCATGGTTTCATGTTTCACAAGGATCTTGAGGGGAACAGTCCCTCCTCAGTGGGAATCCTCTTTTTCTCAGTTGGATGAGCCTTTAGAATACATGGTAAGCTCCATTTTTAGGGCCCGATACATGTGTCTCCTAGGAACACTGGATTGTTCTATTTAGCATTTTAACAGTATCAATGCGATTTAAGAATGTATTTAGTTAGTATCTGGAAATTTTATGCCATGTTTTTAAGATTCTCCCCCTGCCCTGAAATCAAAAAAGTCATAGAAGATACATAGTGCAGGTGCAGCTCGGGAGGCTGAGGCAGGAGGATTGTGAGTTCAAAGCCAGCCTCCACAAAAGCAAGGCCCTAAGAAACTCAGGGAGACCCTGTCTCTAAATAAAAGACAAAATAGGGTTGGGGATGGGACTCAGTGGTCGAGTGGCCCTCAGTTCAATCCACGGTACAGTAAAAAGAAAAAAAAAAAAAAGATAAGAAAAGTAGCTTTCCCCAAGTTTTGGGTTGAACTGGTATATGTTACTACAGGTGGAGGCCTGATATTTGTCTTAAAATGCTTGCTTGCTTTTTTGTTTGTTTGTCGTTAATGGTATAGGGGATTGAACTTAGGGCTGCTTAACCACTGAGCTATGTCTTCAGCCCTTTTTTTACATTTTAGTTAGAGACAGGGTCTCACTAAATTACTTAAGGCCTTGCTAAGTCACTGAGCCTAGCTTTGAACTTGGGCTCCTCCTGCCTCAGCCTCCCGAGCAGCTGGGATCACAGGTGGGCCACYGGGCCACCATTCCTGACTTTTTAACTCTCCATTTGATCCACCCTGTACATAACAAGATGCCCACATGTCTTGGTTTGTAAGGTTAATCCCACTTTATGTCTGTTCCCCTGGGGAAATTATTAATAACTCTCATTTTCACTCCTGTGAAAAGTGTCCTGGATTGGACAATTAATTATGCGGGTTTCCTGACCCATAAGAAACACGTGAAAGAGTAAAATTTAAACTGGGCCCACCAGAAAATGTAAAAGTTAGAACATCAAAATAAGACCAAGTGTCAGAGCTAGAAGATGTATCATCAGGCTGCTGGGCCCTTTGATTGTTACTTTGTGTTCTAAATTTGGACTTGAGCTTCCTGGTAGCCTAAATAAAACAGGTAATAGAATTGCTCCAGTCTGTCAAAATAGAAAAAAAAAAAAAAAAAGTTGTGCCAATTCTCTAGGTAAAGCAAAGAACTTTCCTCTTCCAGTGCTACTATTTTACTTTTAGATTAAGAGACTGATGGAAATAATAATAAACTCAGATATGAGAAAAGGGATCATGAACTACATATTTCCTGCTAGATATAGCAACTGCTGATGAAATCTTACTTAAAGGTAGAATACACCTGTGATGATCTTTGCAAAAATCCCTTCTTAACTTTGGCCACTCATCATCCCAAACTTCCTCTCTGTTTACAGGTCATGGTTGTGTAATGTGCCAGAGGAAAGATCTAACTTGGCTGTACAAGATAACAATGACTYTAGCAATTTCCTTCAGTCCTTCCCACCTATCTCTGGCATGCAATATTTTTAAAGGATCTTAATAGTTAGAAAATGTAGTGGATATTATTTTTAAAGCTGAATTTTCTATAATTTGAGAGTTTTGTCTACATGGAAACATTACCCTCCTATCCAGTTAAATTATTAAATTATAAATTTATTTTTTCCATGCTGAAAGGTAAGTTCAGCTGGCTGAAGCTTTCGCTAGCACACAGTGCCATGCAAATTCAGCAGAAACCACATTGTCTAAGAAATGCCATATAGTTCAGAAGGGCACATTTACATTCATTAAAGTCATATGAAGGCTGGGTGTGGTGGTGCAAGCCTGTAATTCCAATGGCTTGGGAGGCTGAGGGAGGAGGATCACAAGTTCAAAGCTGCCTCAGCAACTTAGCAAGGCCCTAAGCAATTCAGCAAGACCTTGTCTTAAATAAAATATTAGAAAAGGGCTGGGGATGTGGCTCCCTTCACTCCTGCCTACCTAAAGAACTGTTTTTTTTTTTTTCTGTCTTCCCTAGCCCGCCCCCCTTTCTGTGAATTAGCATCTGCATATCAGAGAAACATTCAGCCTTTGGTTTTTTGAGACTGACTCATTTCACTTAGCATGATAATCTCCAGTTCCATCCATTTACCAGCAAATTTCATTCTTCTTTAAGGCTGAGTAATATTCCATTGTGTATATAGACCACATTTTATTTGTCCATTCATCTTTGGAAGGGCACCTAGGTTGGTTCCATAGCTTAGCTATTGTGATGCTCCAATTTCTTTAAAATGATAATCAGTCTGAGACCATGAGCCATGCGGCATGCCATGGACCATATTTTGCCATACCCTGTAATAGCTAAGTGTTTATTAAACACRGTATGCAAAGCCATGTTCAAGTGCTTTGAATGTAATGGTGAAGTTAACCCTCCCTACAGCCCCACGGAGTAGATGGTGGGTGTTTTCTCCCTTTTACGGACTGAGAAGCTGAGGCTTAGCGGGGTGAACCCGCTGGCCTGAGATGGTATGTTGTTGATGCAGGGCTGGGGTTCAGACCCTCTGTTTCTAGAACCCGTGGAAATAGCCCCTAGCAGGGCTTCCTCTTACAGATAGTGGTTCTTACATGTTGTTTATCTTAAAATGTTTTAATAGAAATAAATCATAGCTTGCTATTTCCTCATGCTCCAAATACGCAAAGTCGGAAACTATTAATAAATTCCAAGAATCAGCCAAAACGGTACATAAGAGAACAACAACAACAACAAAATCTGCTTAAAAATGTTGTTTTCAAAGGGGAAAGAAATACGAGATGCTTTGGGGCAATCAATAATCATTCTACCACAGTCAATTGGAACATTAAGGGACTTTCCATATAGTTCCTACCTTAGGAAAACTTGAAGGGGGTCCTCTTTAGTACATTTAGAACAGGTTTTACCTGAGCAGGTACGTGGGCCTAATGAGTTATTCATGTGTAATTCGTGATATTTTATGCATGAGGTGGAGGTGGTTTGCTACTTAGAGAAAGGGTCTGGTATCCAGGAAACCAAGCCTGCATCTCTAAGTGGCTATAAAACCAAAAAGCCAAGACTCACAGTTTCTGGGGAGCATAGCAGAAAGAGCACAGAGCAAAATCCTGGACAACTTGGATTCTAGTCCTGACTCTGCTCCTCTATTGGCTGTGTGACCTTGGGCAAAGTACTTAACTTCTCTGAACCTCCTGTCTCATGGTTTAAAAGTAYATTTATTGCCTACCCTTGGGCAATAAATGAAAGTCAAGTGCATACTACAGATTCAAAGCACATGGACTTAGTTGTATTGAACAGGGAAACAGTCAGACATAGACACTGCTGAGTGACATTGCAGTTTGTATTCTTAGATTTCGCTTTTTCGTGATAAATAATGGCAAATATTCATCCAACTCCTGATAAGCTCCTCAGATTCATCCAGAAGCCTCACATTTCTTTCACATAAAGATGGAGCCCCAAGACTCCAAGCTTTTAACTGTGCTCTCTCCTTACTTTACAATCTTTGATCTAAGGAGCACATTTATAGCAGTATGAGGCCAGGCTTCCCCCAGGGGCCCTTCCTGAGTCCTGGCCACTCTTCAGGAGCATTGAGTTGCCCTTCCATGTATAGAGTTGGTACTCAAACCGACTGCTGGCTAAACTCAGATTAGACTGGGCAATGTTGACACATAATGTCACAGTAGCTAACATTTTCCATCATCCATTAGCAACATTCATTTCAAAGGAAGGGGTAAAATCGAGGTTCAGAGAGGTTGAGTTCTTAGTCTAAAGCTACACAGTGARGACAGGGTGAGACTGGAACCCAGGTCCCTGCTCCAGCACTCTGGCTGTGTCTCATTCCATGTTTTATGTCTGTGGAGCTATTTCCTGTATCCTAGAAGCCCGGTTTGGGAAAACAAAACAAAACAAAGCAAAGCACTCTTACAGTCAGGATCACTCTCTCAAATTCAATGTTTAAAAAACAAAGGTAAAATTTTTTCAGTTCCGGGGTGTCCCAGGGTAGCTGTTCCAGCCCTGGTGGGTGACCCCAGTGTCCCACGATTCCGTGATCTCCCCCTTTTCCGTGGTGAATTTGGCCAGCTGCTGACTGCTGGTCGCTGTGTGGTGTGGTGTGTCCTCCRGGAAAAGCGCAGGTGCAGGACTGCAGGCCGAGGGTCAATTTGTGCTGTGGTGTTGTCCATGGCTTCACAGTCCCACGAAGGTGATGAAGCAGTATGTCCTCCTCTTGTATCGAGTCAGTCCACAAGGGGACACGTGCCTTTTCTTCCATTTTATTGTAAAACAAACCAACCAAACCAACAGTGGTTGGGAAACAGGGAGGGGAGTTGCCGGAGGAGTGGAGGTGGAAGAGCCAACAGCCCATTTCACAGATGTCAATGCCGAGTCTTGCCAGAGCTGCCCAGATGGGCCTCCATGGTCTATGTGAAACTAATGCCGGCATCTTTAATAGAGAGCAGAATGCAAACCCAGAATCCGGAGCCCCTGGCCTCCCCTGGGTCATCTGCCACCACCAGTTTGCTTCCCTCCATCACAGGAAGTCATGAATGAGATAGAGATGTACAGAGAAACCCATTGCGTGTGCTTGTTTATATTTTCTCAGGCCCAAAAACGGTGGCAAGTACTGCGTGGGGCGCAGAATGAAGTTCAAGTCCTGCAACACGGAGCCCTGCCTCAAGCAGAAGCGAGACTTCCGCGATGAGCAGTGTGCGCACTTTGACGGGAAGCATTTTAACATCAACGGTCTGCACCCTAATGTGCGCTGGGTCCCCAAGTACAGCGGAAGTAAGTGCCTGCGGGCAAGGGCCCCGGGACAGCGGGCTGGCCCTAGGTCCAGGTGCGCACATGTCCCATGGAATGACGTCTCCCCTGCAGTTCTGATGAAGGACCGCTGCAAGCTGTTCTGCAGAGTGGCCGGGAACACCGCCTACTACCAGCTCCGGGACAGAGTGATCGATGGAACGCCTTGTGGCCAGGACACCAATGACATCTGTGTCCAAGGCCTTTGCAGGGTGAGTCACAGATGGCCTTCTCTTCATGGTGCTGTGGATTGTGGTTTGTGGCTTCCTTGATAGAACAGCACGCAGTCCTGAGCAGGGCTTCTCCAAGTGTGGTCCCTGGACCAGCATGAGTGGCGGCCAGTATCATCTGATTCTGACCCGTGCTCTGTCAGAATCACTGCCCTGGGTTTTTCCTGATAGTTTTAGCCTCTATGGGGGCCCCCAGATCTCCCCTGAAGGTTTATTATGCTAATTTACGCTCCTTTAGTGTGACCTGAGTCCAAGGTTAAACCCAAATGCTCTCTGACAGCATTTCCTAGAGTGAATAGCTGTGTTCCAGAAAGATGTCAGGAGAAGAGCTGGCCTCGCTCAGATTCCTCTTTGTGATTTTAACCCTAATTGCTTCCACCTGAGACGTGCCTGTTAATTATTCTTGGAAGGTAAATTGAGAAACTTCTGGCAGACAGCAAAGTCTCTGTGACTTGCGGAGTGCTTGGTACCTCTTCGCAGTTCCCGCTGACCAGAAACAAGTGCTAACTGTGCCAGGTTCATCAGGTGATGTGTTTCTCCCTGAGAGTGGTCCAGATGCAGATGACAGTTCCTGGGGACAAGGATTTGATGCACAGAGCCCCTAAGAGCCTCACCCCTTCCCAGCCTGCACCTGCAACAGGTCCCCTGTTCCGTCCAATCCATAGCAACACCTTGAGGKCCTTCTCAAAGAGTGGTTCACACAAAGGGACAAAAGGGACAAGCCTGTGGCCTCTCCTCTCCAGGTCTTCAGGTTGTTGCCAGGGTCGACCTCAGGGCTCAGTCTGTACTGATGCATGTTGCAGATTCCAGAGGCCAGGGATGCAGCCAGGGTCTCCAGCTGCCACCTGTCAGTCCTGCTTTCCCCTGCATGCTCAGCCCAGCATTTAAACATGGGGGATTTTGCATAATATCCAAATTTCCAACTTCTCTTGAAAAACAATTTGGAAAAYGTCAACACTGAGTTCTTGTTGCTAACCGGTCCAGCAGCAGGGAGTGTCAGCAGCTCCTCCCTAAGGTGGAGCCTGAGCTCCTCGATTAAATACAGCCCCTCACCACCCCACCCCTTCTTTTTCTCATTTAATCTGCTTACTCTTTTTTTTTGGGGGGGGGGTTGTGAGGTGTTTTTTTTTTTTTTTTTTTTGGTACCTGGGATTAAACCCGGGGGCGCTTAACCACTGAGCCCCATCCCCAGCCCTATTTTGTATTTTATTTAGAGACAGGGTCTCATTGAATTGCTTAGGGCGGAGGCTGGCTTTGAACTCGAGATCCTCCTGCCTCAGCCTCCTGAGCTGCTTGGGGATCACAGGTGTGTGTCTCTGCACCCAGCCCCACTCTGCTTATTCTTCGGTGCTTCTCAAACTTTTCTCTGCAGATGAAGTCTTGTTAAAATCCCAACTCTGATTCGTAGGTCTGGGTGACTGCTGAGAGTCTGCGTTCCTAACAACATCAAGGATGTCCACGGCTGCTGGATCAAATTTTAAATGGCAAAGCCGTAGATGATATGAGTTCCCAACCCTGGAAAGTTTCAAGGGCCATCTCTTCCTTGTGGTTTTGAATTTGCATCATTGAAAGAAACACATTCATTGCCATTTTATTATCTCATTCATGCTTCACCATTTATTTCTAATGTTTTCTTTTCTTTTTTTTTTTTAAAGCAAGCTGGATGTGATCATGTTCTGAACTCAAAAGCCCGGAGAGATAAATGTGGGGTTTGTGGTGGCGATAATTCTTCATGCAAAACAGTAGCAGGAACATTCAATACTGTACATTATGGTAAGAATCTGCTTCTAAGGATTGTGAGAAAGAAAAGTTTAAAAAAAAAGTTGAATTGTACATATCATGTGAAAATATTAATGTCAAGCTTAAAGTCAATCTGGTTACAGTCCATTTTCATCCATCTGGCCATAGGGCACCTAATAGTGACAATCACATTTCCTTGTGACCCACCTTGGCTTCCATTCTTAGAGAAAAAAGTGAACCACTGAATTTTTGTTAAATTCTTTTTAGGTTACAATACTGTGGTCCGAATTCCAGCCGGTGCTACCAATATTGATGTGCGACAGCACAGTTTCTCAGGGAAATCGGAAGATGACAACTACTTGGGTGAGACGGGGTGCCCCTGCCATTTTCTACAGACATTCCGGTTTTCTGGGGCAATTGGCACAAACTCCTCCCTCCTCTCTGACACCTTCCGATGGGTTTCCATAAAAGCAGTTGATCTCGAAATTCATTATTTTATTTCACACTCGTACGTAACACCCTCAGAATATTGATTCAGGGGTTAATTGGTTGCCCCGTTCAATATCAAGGGATTGACTCTGGATTTTACAAAATAGATAGGCTTCAGGTCAGATTACCGTGCTCGTAGATGATGGGGCAGGCACGTAGGGTAGAGGGTGGCCTGGCTTAGGGAGTTGCTGCAAAACTCCGAGAGAGACAGAGATGCTCATGGCGCTCCCCCAAGCAGGAATGTGGAGGTGGACCTATGTGGTTAGGTTCTGGGGACATTTTAGAGTTCAAACCATCATGACTTTCTTCTTCTTTTTTTTGGTCCCAGAGATTGAACCCGGGGTGCTTAATGACTGAGCCACGTCCCCAGCCCTTTTTTGTACTTTATTTAGAGACAGGGTCTCACTGAGGTGCTTAGGGCCTCACTAAGTGGCTGAGGCTGGCTTTGAACTCACCATCCTCCTGTCTCAGCCTTCAGAGCCACTGCAATTACAGGAGTGTGCCACCGACCCCAGCTAACTATGATTTGTTGATGGATTAAATATGCAGGTACATGGGAAAAAATAGCCAAAGATGTCTTGGAATCAAAAGGGGTCAAAAACTCTCAGGTTTTGACATGAGCAATGAAAAGGAAGGTGTCATCCTCCACTGAGATTGAGATTTGGAACTTATTTGTGCATGTGACTACCAGTGTTTTAGGTCAGGACTGTGTCTTTGCATCTTTGCTCCCGAGACAAAGCCTGTACATGATAGGTGCTCAGTAAATGATTGCTGAATTGTTCAACAGGCATTGCTCCTACCRTGAGCTTCATGGGGAATAGAGCCACTTTGGAGATATTAGATTCATTTCTTCTTCTAAAGACTATAAAAAAATCTTCCTTGTAATTAAGTGCTCTATCGATGCCTCAGGTTTTTGCCACCCTAAACACCCAACAGCTGGCAACATTATAGGAAAATGAATAAGCCAGATGCAGGGTGCACACTTGTAATCCCAGAGTCCTAGGAGGCTGAGGCAGGAGAACTGTGAGTTCGAGGCCAGTCTGAGCAACTCAAGGAGACCCTGCCTCTAAATTAAAAATAAAAAAGGGTTGGGGATGTGGCTCAGTGCTTAAAAGTGCCCCTGGGTTCAATCCCCAGAGCCAAAATAATTACTTAATTTAAAACAAAAAGAAAACTACCAGGGTGAGGGGTATAGCTCCATGGTACAGCACGTGCTTAGCAGGCACAAGGCCCTAGGTTCAATCCCTGACACCACAGTTATAGCAAGAAATCAAATAAGACAATGGACAAAGTTCTTGGAAACCATTCTCAAATGATATTTTCAAGGATTTCTCATTTTACCAWGGTGCAAAATGGGTCAAAGAGTTTTCTCCATGTATTTGGTTATAAATTTGTGCCTGTGACTGTGACCTTCCTACTTCCTAATTAAATCAAGCAGCGCTACACTCCGCTTCCTGGGGAAATTGAATTCCTGCTAGCTGAAAGCCATGTTGAGCTGTTTCTTTCCTCTCCTCCAAAGGAAGAGGATTCTCTTCTCTCCTCCTCCTGTTTGGGAAAATGATCGCTCTCCAATTAAGCAGCCTCAATTCCGTTCAACTCAATCAGTCCGTGTCAGGTGTTGGAATTTGGGGTGGGCCTCCAGAGAACCTCTTATTCATCACTGGAGGATCTTAATCTCCTTGCAAAGGATGAAAACAAAATCAAAGAAGATCTGTCATCTGGAACAGGCAGCCCCAGCCTCTCGTGGCTCTTTAATGGAATGGTAGGAGAATGTCCCTGGATGGCCTAAGAACAGTCTCTCTGGACACCAAAGTGCCCAAGCACAGATTTGGAGACACAGTCCGTCGAGTGTGAAAGCGGAGACCTCAGAGCCTTTGAACCTCACAGAGGTGTCTTAGAAGGCAGGAACAATTTGATGTCATCAAGGCTGAGGCGTGGAGATTTACCCTTGGCGTGGTGGAGGGGGACCACAGCCCGCGCTGGGTTAAGCATGCGCCCGTCTCTCGGCTCTTCTGTTGCTAAGCGATCTTCACCCTGATCCCTGGTTGTTTTATCAAATCAGTCCAGCCAGGCGCTTCCTGTGTGTTTTGATGAGGGAGCAGTTTCCAGAAGACAGCGCCTTTGTGGCAGTCGGGTTCTGATGGGTGCAACGGGGAGGAAAGCCCCCAGGAAATCAGCTCTCCTAATCGCATTAGCGGGAGGTGGAGCAGGAGGCTCTGATTTTCAGGAAACTATTTGTTTCACAAGGTACCGAAGCAGAAAGCCTCCCAGTCAAAGGTGGTCCTTGCACATAGACCCCTCCCTGCCACGGGGTGAAAGCCAAGTTGTACGGCCTCACCGTGTTCTGAGCCTATCCCTTGGGGAAGGTGCTCATTTCTTTTTGTTTTTTTGGGTTTTTTTTTTTGGGGGGGGGGAGTACCAGGAATTGAGCCCAGAGGTGCTTACCCACTGAGCCCCATCCCCAGCTCTTTTTTTTTTTTTTTAAGTTTTCTTCTTCTTTTTTTTTTTTTAAGAGAGAGTGAGAGGAGAGAGAGAGAGAGAGAGAGAGAGAGAGAGAGAGAGAGAATTTTTAATATTTATTTTTTAGTTCTCGGCGGACACAACATCTTTGTTTGTATGTGGTGCTGAGGATCGAACCCGGGCCGCACGCATGCCAGAGGAGCACGATACCGCTTGAGCCACATCCCCAGCCCTCCCCAGCTCTTTTTTATGTTTTATTTAGAGACAGGGTCTTGCTGAGTTGCTTAGGGCCTTGCTAAGTTGCTGAGGCTGGCCTCAAACTTGCGATCCTCCTGCCTCAGCCTCCCAAGCTGCTGGGATGACAGGCCCTTGGCTAGCTGTGGCAGTAGGAAAACAGAAACGGATTCAGTGAAAGATAAAGCAGAAATTTTCTTTTGCCGGACGACTTTACTTGTACCTGAGACGGAGCCATTTACCAGAGCAAATCCCAGCATTCCAGCTCCTGGCCTCTTCTCCCTTCCCTGTGAAATGGAATAAGAAACACGGGGTGCAGGATGGCATCCCTCTAGGTGGGCGTAATGAGGAGAGGAAGCCAGGTTAACCTTCGCCGGCACTGCCATGCGGTGAGCATGGACAAGGCTCCACTGTGGCTTTCTTGGCGGGGCTGGCATGTGACATTCCACTTCCCCGTCTCCAGTGAAGCGTCAGCGGCATAGCCAGCACGTAACTTAGCTTGAAAGAATTAGGTGATTTGGTTGACAGCACATCATGCCGTCACCATGTAAGTGACCCGCTTGAGGGAGCAGCCCCAGGACACCCGAGGTGCCATGGAAACCACTGTCGGGTCAGTGACCCACTGGAGCTCCGGCATCCTGCATGGCAGGTGGGCCTCACACTGCAGGGGCTACAGGCGAGACAGGGCTGCCCGAGGGTTACACCAACTGGGGACAGTCACTGGGCTGGAAGCACTCTTTTCTCTCTGTCACCAGTGTCAGGTTCAATCCATCACTCGCTCTTTATTATTTTTTTTCTGGGTACCAGGGATTGAACCCAGGGGCCCTCGACCACTGAGCCCCATCCCCAGCCCTATTTTGTATTTTATTTAGAGACAGGGTCTCCCTGAGTTGCTCAGGGCCTCGATTTGGCTGAGGCTGGCTTTGAACTCACGATCCTCCTGCCTCAGCCTCCCCAGCAGCTGGGATGACAGGTGTGTGCCACCACTTCATCAGTAGCACACCTACTAAGGGTAGGGATCTTTCTTGGGTTTACAAAAGCAAATTTTTAAATGATTTCTTTACTACAAGGCATAGGCTGTCTAGCAAGACCCACTATTTAAATTTTTTAAAAGCTGCAGACCTAAACAAATTTGATTTCCACTTGTAAACCAAGGAAAGGATGCATAAATTCATTCATTGAACATTTGCCAAGGCCCTTCTTGGAAAATGTTAGTGGCTCCCAAATTCTGGAGAGAGATTTTCTTGATTAGAAGCCACCTGGCCTCGGGAAGTTAATTTAATACCAAGTCAGGCCTGTTTCTCCCTTAAGTCAGGAACAGCAGGTGGATGTCTCGGAGGTGTGGTGAGGGGACCGTGCGTGGGAATCCATGATGACCTTCCAGGTTAAATGGCCCCGAAGCATTGGATGACTGGGAAGTAGAGGGCCAGCTCCCTAAAAGTGAAACCAATGTTTTTCCACAAATAGAGGGAAAATATATGGTTGGAATTTTATCTTGAGAAGTAAATCTGAAAGCATGCAAATAAGATTCTTTTTAGCTCATATTCAACAACTTACATTTTAATTGGAGTCATTCCGAGTGTTTTAGGTTGGAGATCAAAAGCCATCAGTACATATATTTCTGTAAGTTTTGCAGTCAGTTGTAATGACAAGACAATAGTGCCTTCTTAAAGAGTGACATGGAGCCTTTTTATTTTATTTTTGGTACTGGGGATTGAACCCAGGGGCACTCAACCACTGAGCCCCATCCCCAGCCCTTTTTTGTATTTTATTCAGACACAGAGTCTCACTGAATTGYTTAGGGCCTCTCTAAGTTGCCGAGGCTGGCTTTGAACTCACGATCCTCCTGCCTCAGCCTCCAAGCTGCTGGGATGACAAGAGTGGGCCATCGAGCCTTGCTTGCCATTTTGATATAACTCTTCACTGTGAAATAATCRCCAAAACAGGATAATTTACATGTTTTAGCATAGTGACCATTTCCTTACCTTTATTTGTGCATGTGCACATCCAGCTGGAAATGACACTGATGACCGACCCTCTGGACTCATTGTYACCGTGCAGTAAATCAGATCTGCAACATTTATTTGTCTTTGAACCCTCTTCCCAATCCCCCTCCTTCCAGCCCCCTGTAACCACCATTCTTAGTTTTCATCATTGCTTCAATTCAGCCAGCTCCTCATCTGGCCAGTGTTTTAGCACTTAATCCATGCAGTTTTCCAATTCTATTTCTTCAGCTTCACGGATTCTTTTATCTTTTGCAAGATTTGGGGAACATTCACTTAAAAAAAAAAGAAGACTTTAGTGAGCACCTGCTATTTCCCCTTAAGAAGCACAGTAGTAGTGGGTCGTGAGACAGTGTCCACCCTCACCYCTGGGGGGCCCCGATAGTTGTGCAGAATCAAAAGGCCATGGAGAAAAACTAGGATGGGAAAAGGGATGGAATCTGTGCTGACCCTGAGTGAYATTTGCAGTTTGGAAAAGAATGGTCCAGGCAGGTGTCTGGGGCTGCTAACATGTGACGAGTTATCTCAAGACACAGTGTGAAATCACAGGGTAGGAAATGTCTCTGTTTCTCACATCGGGAATGTGGGAGCAGTGAAACTGGGTGTTTCTGGTTTGAAGGCTGGTGTGAGGTGACGACATTTAGGGCTGTGGTCTCATCCRAAGGCTCCCCTGGGGCTGGAGGATCCGCTCCTGGCTGGCTTACACTCCTGCAGTTGGCAGAAGAACTCAGTTCTCTGAGCTTCCCCAGGGTGTTTGCAGGAACCTCAGCCTGGGCATCCCATCACCTTGCAGTTAGCCTCCCCTAAAACTAGAGATTGAAGGAAGAGAGAGGCCAGGCATGGTGCACAGGCCTCTAATCCCAGCAGTTCGGGAGGCTGAGGCAGGAGGATCACGAGTTCAAARCCAGCCTCAGCAACTTAGTGAGGCCCTAAGCAACTCAGTGAGACCCTGTCTCTAAATAAATACAAAATAGGGCTGGGGATGGGGCTTAGTAGTTGAGCACCCCTGGGTTCAGTCCCTGGTTTTCCTAGTCATTCCTGTTGGGTGTGGGAGGGGGGGAAACAGGGTGACTGCCTGGAGAAAAGGATCCCCAGGGCCACATGTGAGGCTGGCCGCCCCCCTGGGCCTCATTGGAAAGGTGGCACTGAGCATCATATTGTGTATTTGCAGGTATCACCATTTGTCAAATAGAGGTGACCCCACAAAGACTCAGCAGGCTCAAGTAATGAAGGCATACATCAAGTGTGCTGTGTGGGAGGGGACCGCTCGCAGACCTTCTCCATGCACGGCTACACATTTTCAAACCAAATGAAATACATTGGCTTCCGTCTGTGGTCCTGTGGCTGTGGGGCTTCTTCAGGGAGCCCCAGGCTCACCAGATCCCTGTATTCTGTTTCTCTTAGTTTTCTCTATTCCACTTGGTTTCCATAGTCACCATCAGGAGTAGATGTTTTACCTCATTTTAAAGAAATGGAGTCAGAGAGGGAAAGTGGATTGCCTAAGGACACACAGCTGGCATTGGGCGAATCAGGAATGTGCTCGTGCCTGTGGGGCTGCAAAGCCCCTGATCTGTGGACTCTCGGCCTGTCAGGGTGGGATCTCATTTTCTTTTTCTTTTGTTTACTATTTTTTATTTGATCTTTTTAGATATACATAGTAGTAGAGTGTTTTCTGACATATCATACATACATGGAGTCTAACTTCCCATTCTTGTGGTTGGACATGACGTGGAGTTTCCCTGGTCGTGTGTTCACATATGAATATAGGAAAGTTCTGTCCCATTCAYTCCACTGTCTTTCCCATTCCCATCCCCCTCCCTTCCCTTCATTCCCCTTTGTCTMATCCAGTGAACTTTTATTCTTCCCTCCCTACTTCCAATTGCGTGTATCAGAGAGAACACGTGGACTTTTTTTTTTTTTTTGGATTGGCTTATTTTGCTTAGCATAATGATCTCCAGTTCCATCCATTTACTGGCAAATGCTATCATTTCATTCTTCTTTAAGGTTGAGTAATATTCCCTTGTATATATTTACCACATTTTCTTTATCCATTCATCTGTTGAAGGGCACCTAGGTTGGCTCCATAACTTAGCTATTGTGAATTGATGTGGCTRTGTCACTGTAGTGTGCTGATTTTAAGTCCTTTGGGTATATACTGAGGAGTGGCTAACTGGGTCAAATAGTGGTTCCATTCCTAGTTTTATGAGGAATCTCCACACTGCTTTCCAGAGCGTGCAGTCCCACCAACAACGCATGAGTGACCCTTTCCCCCACACCCTGGCCAACATCTGCTGTTACTCGCATTCTTGATGATCGGGGTATTTCATATTTCACACAAATGCTGCTGGGCAGYGGATCAGCAGGTTCTCTGTCCTCACCCACAGCTTTATCAAGCAGTAAAGGTGAATTCCTGCTCAACGGAGACTTCGTCGTCACCATGTCCAAAAGGGAAATCCGCGTTGGGAGCGCCGTGATTGAGTACAGCGGGTCGGACAACGTGGTGGAGCGCATCAACTCCACGGACCGCATTGAGCAGGAGCTGCTGCTGCAGGTAGGACCTGCCCTGGCCACGCCCCTCTCTGGGCTGGGGCTCCGCTGACCGCCCCCTGTCTCACCGCCCGCAGGTCCTGTCGGTGGGGAAGCTCTACAACCCCGACGTGCGCTACTCCTTCAACGTTCCCATCGAAGACAAGCCTCAGCAGTTCTACTGGAACAATCACGGCCCCTGGCAGGCGTGCAGCAAGCCCTGCCAAGGTACCGCCTGCGGGTTTTTTTGTGGGGATTCCAAGAGATGATGATGATGATGATGATGATGATGATGAGTTTTGGTACCAGGTGTTGAACTCAGGGGTACTTGACCACTGAGCCCCATCCCCAGCCCTATTTTGCATTTTATTTAGGGACAGGGTCTCATTCARTTGCTTAGAGCCTCGATTTTGCTGAGGCTGGCTTTGAACTCACGATCCTCCWGCCTCAGCCTCCCCAGCCCCTGGGATTATAGGCATGCACTTTTATATATGAGAGAAACATACAACCCTTGACCTTCTGAGTTTGGTTTATTTCCCTTAACATAATGATCTCTAGTTCCATCCATTTTACTGCAAATGACATATTTCATTTTTATTTATGGCCAAATAAATCTCCCCTGTGTATAGAGACCATATTTTCTTTATCCAATCATCCACTGGTGGACACCCAGGCTGGTTCCATAGTCTGCCTGTTGTGGATTGTGCTGCTGTAAACTTGGCTGTGCATGTGTCACTGTGGGAAGATGACTTTAATTCTTCAGGGTAAATACAGATGGGTGATAAATTTGGGACCTGTGGTGGTTCCTTGTCTAGTCTTCTGAGGAGCCTCCATTCGATTTCCACAACAGTTGTACCCATTTAGGATCCACCCACAGTGTGAAAGTGTTCCCCCCGCCATTCCTCTCCAGCACTTATTATTTGTATTCTTGGTGACTGCCATTCTGACTGGAGCTACATGAAATCTTGGTGTCATTTTGGCAAATTTGGGCTATGCTAGGTTTTCTTATCTAAAGAGCTTGGCACATAGGCGCATAGCCAAGCAAGATCCACTTGCCACTTTAATTTTTCAGAGACATGGTTTCAGTAGTCGCATACTCTTGATTTTTTTTTTCTTTTGCTAAATTAAGGTCAGCAAACTACAGCCACAGGGCCAATTCCAGCCTGCCACCTGCTTTTATAAATAAAGTTTTATTGGAACACAGCCATACCCATGTGTTTACAGATAATCTGTGACAGCTGTATTTTCTGCCCTGTCATGTTGAGACGTGCTACAGAAATTGTGCTGGCCAACAAAACTGAAAATATTTATAAGCTGGTGTTCCCRTAGAAAATGCTTTCCAGACCTCAGTCTAAGTAGGACTGTGTGCTCTGAATAATTTTTTTGTCCTCTTTGCTCAGGGGAGCGGAAACGGAAGCCTGTTTGCAGCAGGGAATCTGACCAGCTTACCGTGTCGGATCAGAGGTGCGATGGGCTGCCCCAGCCAGCACCCATCACGGAAGCCTGCGGCACAGACTGTGACTTGAGGTGGGCCCGTGCGCCTCCTGCTCTTTGATGCTGAGTGGAGAGGGTCTTGCGGCGAGTCTGGGCGTGTGGATCAGAAGGAGGGGGTGTTCAGCTTTAATCCTTCTTCCTGATATTTTGTGAGATGAGCTCTAGCCAGTTCTCCATCCGTTCAATCCTATCATCTAAGACACATGTCAGTGGATTTCTTGTTCTCCYAAGAATTAAATAATGAGTAGAGTGTGGCACTTGCCAGAAAACATTCCATCTAGATCTTCAGAACTCACTGATGAGGCATTCAAAGTCAGCAAGAGGTGGGGAAACTAGCCGGGCACGCACCTGTCATCCCAGTGGCTCCGGAGGCTGAAGCAGGACGCTCAAGAGTTCAAGACCAGCCTCAGCAACTTAGCAAGGCCCTAGGCAATCTAGGGAGACCCTGTGTCTAAATAAAATGTAAAAAKGGCTGGGGATGGGGCTCACTGATAAGTGCCTCTAGGTTCAATCCCCAGTACCAATAATATTACTAATAATTAAATTTTTAAAGTAATAATTAAAAGTCTTCAAAACAAAGAGTGGGGGGACTTTATCCCTCTATGCCTGTGATGTTCTGCATCCACCCAGGGCACATTCCACTCAGAACATGAACTCTTAGGCATGCCAAAGTTGCATGGAGGAGCAAGAAGAAAGTCTATTTAGAACTATCTAGATATTCAAACAAGTATTTATGAAAGCGAAGTCAGAGGCAGGAAGTATTGAATGGGTGGAGAACCCTGAAGCTTTCCTCTTGTCTGCAAGGTTARCAGTGTCCTAGTGAAGAACCTAGGGGTGCCTTGTGTATTCTACATGTCAAGTGGATGCAGCTAAGGTGTGCTGCCACCTCATCCCTCTTTTGCAGTCCAGAGATTAGGGTCAGAGTGGTATATGGCTATGTTAAGGTCTCACCATTCGTAAGCYGCAGAGTGACTACTTGAACATTTTGAAGTTCCCACAGCACTGGACCAAAGCCTTCAAGTAGTGCAGGCTTCCTATAGTGCTGGAAGGAATGCAGATTTGGAGGCAGGGAGAGAAGAGTGCTGTGATTGATTAGTAATGCCTGTCATGGGAGTCAAAGTGGAAATTGTGATAAGTGTGCTCTCAGCCAGTCCTGACCTGAGGCTCTGACTTCAAAGACACTACCTTTCCACCCTCACACACTTCCTCTTGACACATTGTTACTGACCTGCTTGCTCATTGGCTTGCTCAAAAGCATTGACCAAAGTCACATATTATTGTAAAAAATAAAATAAAATATTAGTCATTAAAAGGTGAGCATTCACACTAACAACATTCTTTTTTTCAGCAAGGTAGAAGGTACCAGGGATTGAATTCAGGGGCACTGGACACTGAGCCACATCCCCAGCCCTACTTTTTGTATTTTATTTAGAGACAGGGTCTCACTGAGTTGCTTAATACCTCGCTTTTGCTAGGCTGGCTTTGAACTCATGATCCTCCTGCCTCAGCCTCCCTAAGTGCTGGGATTACACCTTGTCACCATGCCCAATTTAAGACAATATTTTTATTTTTCAGAAGTATCCAAATAAACCCATTTGCTTCAGTCAATTCGGTTAAATTAGAATTAAAGTTCCTTTCAGAAAAAAATAATTAGTGGACTAATTGCTGGACTGAATTAATCACTAATGTTTGGCAGAAAAAACTAAATTGGTGCATAGATACCTTGAGATACAGCCTTAATAAATTGAGAAAGGTAGCACTTTCAGGTTAGCCTTCTTTCTAATTATCACTGTGAAAGTCATGGGATATGGTCACGTGTTTTCTAAGAAYTATTTTTAACACTTAYATGTTATTCTGTTAATWGTCTCACATTGATAGGATAGTATTTATATTTCTTATTGCCTTGTATATAAATCTTATATTATCCTATTGATAGACCTAATAGCCTGTTGATTTCTCAAATACCACTGTAACACAGGTATCATCACCCTTTTACAAATAAGGCTAAGAGAAGTTAAGCAGATTGCCCAAGGTCACACAGCCAGCTAGTGCCACCTTCACTCYGTCAACCTGATGTCAATATAATCATGATTTGTGCTAATTATTTTGGGTACTGGGGATTGAACCCAGGGTTGCTTAATCACTGGGCCACATCCCCCAGGCCTTTTAAATATTTTACATAGGGACAGAATCTCACTAAGTTGCTTACGGCCTAGCTATGTTGCTGAGGCTGGCTTTGAACTCAGGATCCTCCTGCCTCAGCCTCCTGAGCCTTTAAGATTACAGTCATGCACCACCATGCCCAGCTCAAACCAGTGTTTTTGAAAAGCCCTAACAAACAAGTCCTTCCCCAGTGGAGATGCATAACACTGATCAATACCCTGGAGGCTCTGAGAAGATCTGTAATATCAAAACCAGTTTAATTTGGTAGTTCATAAAATCATCTAATCCCACAATCCTCACCCAGACACTCCCCCGTCCCCCAGCACAAACACAATCACACCTTGTCCCTCAGTTTCCACTTATCGACGAGACATTGGGGGATGCTTTTATGAAATTTACTCATTARATATAATTGTGTTTAATTTCCCATGAAATGAACTGAATGATCTCAGCACACCGAAGTTAGACCACTGTCCAGAAAGARAATCTAAGTCATGTGACAGTGTTTGGGAAGAATTTTTCACATGACCTTCCCACAGACTCTGCAGGCCTCTCTGCTGAGATTCTGGGCATCGTGTGGACATCAGGGAAATGACTTTGGTTGGGGTGCTTGCCTCCTTGATCCTGGATGGAAAACAACCTGTCCCAGAGAGCAGCCAAGATCAAAGTGCAGCTGAAAGTTCCAGATGCTTCTGTTGAATGGGTCCACACTTTTGCCCTCCTTCCTGCAGGAAGGGAGAGTTAGCCYCTGTTAAACTGTGATGGGATGAGATGAAGCGCTGGTCCTCAAGCCCCACTGAAWGTGTTCTGGGTTAGAACAAAATCCTCTCGATATTGTGTCCCTCCAAGGGACAGTCTCCAGCCTACTGTCCTTGCCAATGGGCACCTCTGACCTGCTTCTGAGCATCAGTGAGAAATTCCATGACAAGAGTATCATGCAATAATCCTCTCCCCCTGCCCCCGACTCCTTTTCCAAACAGTTGTACATAGAAGAACTCTTAAAACACTGGAGATGAGCAAGCCATCCAATTTCCAAGCAGTAGCCAAATTCCAAAAGTCAAATCCAGTGAAGATTTTCAAGAAATCATCTTTTTTGAATTTGTAAATCCAATCAACAAAATTGTATTTCAAGTTCTTTTATTTAGTTTATTCCTGCTGAAGTAAGAATTCCAAGCCAGCCTCAGCAAAAGCAAGGCCCTAAGCAACTCAGTGAGACCCTGTCTCTAAGTAAAATACAAAATAGGGCTGGGGATGGGGCTCAGTGGTCAATTGCCCCCGAGTTCAATCCCTGGTACAAAAAAAAAAAAAAAAAGACTCATTTTATTAATTTTCCTTTTTTTTTAAATTTAAGCCCTCCTGACTTTGTTTCTAGGGTGTTAAAAGAAACTGACAATTTATTGGTATTTATTGAGCACTTACTGTGTGCCTACAAAGTTTCATTAAAGATACTGGGGATACAAAGATTTATAGATTCAAATCTAATTTTAAAAGCTTATAATTAATTTTTATAGCATGTAGATCACATCTTTGCAGAATTTAGTCTTTGTTCTCAGATAATAGTGCACAGGGTTTAACATACTGGAAATTCACAGTTGCAGTGCAAATTCTTCATTCTTTGAGTAACTCACAGAATGTTCATTGAGCACTTTCTAGCCTGGGCCCAGGCAGCAGAGGCTTCCTGTGATTGGTTTCCAAGAGAAGTTCTCTGTTAGAAAAAGCCAAATGAAATGCTAGATTGCATGAGCTTTTTAAATATAAAGTGGCTCTTTCTGCTCAGTTGAATTCCAAAAAAATTTTTTTTCTTCTTCTTGGTTCCTTAAATTTCAGATGGACTGTATCAGAGAGAATCTTCCCAAAGATAGAGACTCTGGTCATCATTCTTTGACTTCTATGCATACCCGAAGCCATGAAAAATACATGGATAGTTGGTTTGAAATTGGATTTCAGTAACTCACTGGGGCTTTGAGCTCCAGGGTATTTGAGTTAAGGAAGAAAAAAGAACTCACCTCTTCCGCTCATTGGCTGAGTGTTTTAACAGATGCATTGGTTTCTCTTTATTCTGCTTCACAGGTGGCACGTGGCCAGCAGGAGTGAATGCAGTGCCCAGTGTGGTTTAGGTTACCGCACGTTAGACATCTTCTGTGCCAAATACAGCAGGCTAGATGGCAAGACCGAGAAGGTGGATGATAGTTATTGCAACAGTCACCCCAAACCAAGCAACCGGGAGAAATGCTCAGGAGAATGTAACACAGGCGGCTGGCGCTATTCGGCTTGGACTGAAGTAAGTTGGTTCTCATAGAAGAGCGTCCTCTTGGATGAGTCGGATGACTTGATGGTGGCTCCTTGCAGGATTGCATTAAGAAGCCCCATTTAGCTGGAAGCAGTGGTGCACACCTGTCATCCCAGCAGCTGGGGAGGCTGAGGCAGGAGGATCGTGAGTTCCTCAGCAAAAGCGAGGCCCTAAGCACCTCAGTGAGACCCTGTCTCTAAATAAAATATAAAAAGGGCTGGGGATGGGGCTCAGTGGTTAAGCACCCCTGGGTTCAATCCCTGGTACAAAAAAAAAAAAAAAGGAGAACAAGAAGAAAAGAGTACTGTGATTGATATGTAATGCCTGAACCCATTCAAGTTCCGAAGGAAAGAATCCCATGATTGATTGGTAATGTCTGACCCAGGCAGAACAATTGCAGAACTGGTAATAACAATTGCAAGTGRTAAAACAAATCAACCAGCCACTTTTCTAGACCTCTCAGTCCATTTCCAATTTTATTTTCCTATGCCAATGAGCTACTGCGGACTTCAATATAAACCCAGGTAATAAAGTGAGAGCATGCAAAAGAAATCTCTCCAAAAGAAAAAGTAGAGTCAGCCGGGTGGGTTGGTGGTTAAGGTTAGAAGAGGATCTTGACTCCGCAGTRGTCTGATTGGACTTTTCCTTACAGTGTTCTAAAAGCTGCGATGGGGGAAGCCAAAGGAGAAGGGCTATTTGTGTCAACACCCGCAATGACGTCCTGGATGACAGCAAATGTGCCCATCAGGAAAAAGTCACCATTCAGAGRTGCAATGAGTTCCCGTGTCCACAGTGGAAATCGGGAGACTGGTCAGAGGTGAGATGGAGGAGCTGCTGTTCCCTAGGTGGCCTTGGTTGGCTGACTGTGGGTCCCCCTGGTGTGTTGAAGGCTGAGCCTACAGAACCTCTCCCTCCACCCCTTGAGAAAGCAGCAGGCCCGTTCCCCACCCAGGCTCTGACTGAGTACTGGCTGGGCCTTGTCCACCAGAGACCTTGACGTCACGGGGTGTGTCTGGATCCACCATGAGAGCTTCTGTTGGTGACTTTGGAGTCCCAGCTCCCTCACCCTGCCCCCTCGTTGAGCCCTAAGTATCRGAGTGGGAGTCAGGACTGTAGTAATCCTGAGGTTCGGCTAGCTCAGGCCTCAAGTCCTCATCTTGGAAATCAGAGACGTCCCCCCCAGGGAGGGACCTCTGACTTGGGCATCCATTTACCGAAGGAAAACTTAGATGAAAGAGAAAAGGACCAGGCCGAGGTCCAGACCCGGGCCTTTCTCATCCCTGAGCTTGTGAAGTTTGTGTCCAGGACAGTGAGGAGAAGGGCTCTGAGCTTCACTCCGGGGAGCCCAGCCCAGGAGAGTCACCAAGAGGCCCACTCCTTCCACCTTCCTAAGGGGCGCAGGAGGAAGGGGATCAAGGTTCCAGTATGAAGGAGCCAAGTCAGGAGTGGGGAGGAGGGTCCTTACAGCCACAGTCGCCACAGCCGTATCCTTCCCTCTTCCATGGAAGTGCAGCCTTAACCATTGACCTTCACCATCAAACACAGTGCGGGTCTGAGGAGGAGAGGGTGCTTGTCGGTGCAATGAATGGTGGGGAAACGGAGATACAGGCGGTGGTGAGGGCTCCTGCCAAGGGGACCCGGAGACCTAAGTTTGAGGTCTCAGTTAAACTCTCTCTTATCTGGTTTAAAAAAACCGGAAAGGAAGAGGCTGGGTGCTGTGGCCCATACCTGCCACCCCAGCAGCTCTGGAGGCTGAGGCAGGAGGATCAGGAGTTCACAGCCAGCCTCAGCAACTCAGCAAGACCCTGTCTCTAAATAAAATATAGAAAGGGCTGGGGATGGGGCTCAGTGGTTAAGCACCCCTAGGTCAATCCCTGGTACCCRCCTCACCAAAAAAATGAAAGGTGGTAGTAGGCTTGAATTTTACTTAGATGGCTAATTCTAGGTGAAGTATCATGTCAAATTAGGTAACAGACCTTTGATCAGTTAGGGGTGGGGAAGATCAGACTAAGAACTCAGAATGGTCCAAAATTCCTTAGATAAAAACACTGGAAGGGAAACAGCTAAGTGTAGTTCACACTTGGCCCTCGTGCAGTGAGATTTTGACTATGGTAATGTCCTTTATTTTTCAAAATTTCTAAAGTAAGCTGGGTATGGTGGCACACRCCTGTAATCCCAGAGCCAGGCTCTTCCAACCTAATGAGTTAGATCAAGGCACAGAGTCATCAGGCTTGGAGGGAACTTTTCCCAAGTCCTCCTGCTCTGTGGGTCCTGTAGTCTTAACTTGATCCAGAGACTTGGGAGGCTGAAGCAGGARGATGGCGAGTTCAAGGCCAGCCTCAGCAACTAGGGAGGCCCWAAGCAACTCAGTGAGACCCTGTCTCTAAATAAAATACAAAATAGGGCTGGGGATGGGGCTCAGTGGTTAAGCACCCAGGGTTCAATCCCCAGTGCTTGCCCCCCAAAAATGTTTCTTAAATGGACATGAACAATAATGACGTTGATATTTGACGTGTTTTGAGGTAATATTTGTGCTAAGTCCTTTACCCGGATGCCTTTCCTTTAGTGTTCACAACACTCTGCAGTAGGCAGGGCTGTTAACCCATTTTACAGATGAGAAAATGAAAGCCCAGGGGGCCCCTCTGACTTGATTGCATTGGGGTTCAAACACAAGTCGGTTGGACTTAAACCCCTAGAGAATCACAAATGCTGTCTTTTTAGTATTTCAGGGATTGACACTCTGTTGAGTTTATTCTCTGTTTAAAAGTGGCTCAGAGACTAAGTACAGAAAGGAAGAGAGAGAGGAGGGCAGGAGGAGGAAAAAAAAGGAGAGAGAGAGAGAGAGAGAGAGAGAGAGAGAGAGTACATGCGTGCATGTGCGTCGTCTGTCTGTCTAGACAGCCATGGGGATAGGCCACGCCTCTTCTCACTGGTGACTGGATGGCCTGGCCCCTGACTGCCTCTGCTTTTCATTGCAGTGCTTGGTCACCTGTGGAAAAGGGCACAAGCATCGCCAGGTCTGGTGTCAGTTTGAAGACCGAGTAAACGACAGGCTCTGTGACCCTGAGACCAAGCCAGTGTCCATGCAAACTTGTCAGCAGCCGGAATGTGCGTCCTGGCAGGCGGGTCCCTGGGGACAGGTATTTCAATTGATAAGATTCTTGGCTACATTCTTTCCCGTCTTATCTGGGGAGGGCTTGTGCTGGGCATTCCAGGGCCTCCCCAGCTCAGGGCCTCCCCAGCTCTGGGCCTCCCCAGCTCTGGGCCTCCCCAGCTCCGTGGCCCTGGAGCAAGCACGCGAGACCCTCTGCCCCGTCCAGCTCCCCTCACCAGGTTGCCGCTTCCCTGCCAGAGTTCAGGGCTCTGTCCGCAGCCCCACCCTTTGGCTTCAACTGCACGTGCGCCCTGAAACAAATCCACAGCCGACTCTGCGTCTGCCTCCGCGGGGCTGCTACAGAGTATGATCCGATCCGTGCCTGAGCCTTTGGCAGGAGGTCTGGGGTGGGATGTGGAAGGGCTATTTTGGCTCCCAATGTCGCGATTCCAAAGCTGGCTTCCCAGAAAGAAGCAGGCTCTTCCAACCTAATGAGTTAGATCAAGGGCACAGAGTCATCAGGCTTGGAGGGAACCTTTCCCAAGTCCTCCTGCTCTGTGGGTCCTGTAGTCTTAACTTGATCCAGTCTTAAAGGAGAGAGGGGGCCTCCCTGGGTCTTGCATTCACCCCTGGAATTCAGTCCTCCCTAATATAGAAGCAAATGTTCATGTACTGTTGAAGCAGGACTCCGAGTTCCCAGCACAGGGCTAGAGCAGCTGTGGGATGTCACTTATGTAACCTCCTGAAGAATGTTGAAGAATGACTCTCCCTGCACCCTGACCAGCCATAGCCCCTTCTGTCCTTTAGCCTCTGTCTTCATTTCCAAATTTCCGTGCAGTCAATGACAGCAGCTTCATTGCTTCATTTCTGCAATGTCTGCCATCCATATTTTTTTGCGGGGGGTGGTACCAGAGATTGAACCCAGGGACACTTAACCACTGAGCCACTTCCCCAGAGCTATTTAGTCTTTTATTTAGAGACAGAGTCTCATTGAGTTGTTGAGGGCCTTGCTATTGCTGAAGCTGGCTTACAACTCATGATTCTCCTGCCTCAGCCTCCTGAGCCTCTGGGATTAGAGTCATGCGACACTGCACCCAGCCATGTTTTTAAAAATTAAAGTGAAACTCATAGTACAAAAACTAACATTTTTAAATGAAAAAAATCAGAGACCTATAACATATTCATAATGTTTTGCAGTCTCTATTTACTTCCAAAACATTTTCATCAGCCCCCCAGAAGAAACCTTGACACATCAAGTGGGTTGTTCTCTGCACCCTTCTTCCCTTAGGGCCTAGCAGCCATCAGTTTGCATTCTGTCCATACGGATTTGCCTGTTTGGACATTTCATAGAAATGGAATTATATGCTGGGTATGGTGGTGCACATCTTAATCTTAGCAGCTGGGAAGGCTGAGACAGGAGGATCGTGAGTTCAAAGCCAGCCTCAGAAACTTAGTGAGGCCCTCAGCAGCTCAGTGAGATCCTGTGTCTAAATAAAATACAAAATAGGGCTGGGGGTGTGGCTCAGTGGTTGAGTGCCCCTGAGTTCAATCCTCAGTACCCCACCCCCTGAAAAGAAATGGAATTATACAGTATGTGGCCATCTGTATCTGTCTTCGTATTGCATGCTGCTTTCAAAGTTCACTTATGTGGTAGCATGTATTGGTATTTCATTCCAATTCTTACCTGAATAATATTCCATTCTATGGATGTAAAACAATTTGTTTATGCCTTTATTTTTTATGGATATTTATTTAGGTTGTCTCTACTCTTTGGCTACTGTGAATTACTAGCTSAATATTCACAAATATATATCTATTTGAGTACCTGATTTAACTCCTTTGAGATCTATATACCTGGGAATGCAATTGCTGGATCATCAATTCTATGTTTAATTTTTAAATTTCCAAGTGGTTTTCCATAGCACTGTACCATTTTACATCATAAAAGCAATATGCAAGGGTTCTAATTTTTCCATTTCCCTTTGGGGGGGCGCAGGGGTGAAGTACCAGGGTTTGAACTCAGGGACACTCAACCACTGAGCCCCACCCCCAGCCCTATTTTGTATTTTATTTAGAGACAGGGTCTCACTGAGTTGTTTAGTGCCTTGCTAAGTTGCTGAGGCTGGCTTTGAACTCACGATCCTCCTGCCTCAGCCTCCTGAGTTGCTGAAATTACAGGYGTGTGTCACCACACCCAACTTTCTAATCTTTATTATTTTCTTTCTTCTCCTAATTCTGGGCTTACTTTGCTCTTCTGTTTCTTCCTTCTTAAGCTACATACACATTTTKCTAATTGTTTTGAGGTTGTTTTCCTTTATCTTACACAGTCATTTGCAACTATCAATTTCTTGTGAGCCCTGCTTTCCCTGAATCTTGTAAATTTTCTTATTYCTGTTTTGTTTTCATCCATCTCAAGTACTTTCCTGTGTCCCTTGTGATTTCTTCTTTGGCCTGTGGGTTGTTTGAACACATGTTAATGTCCACGCATCTGTGAACTTGGCCAATTTGCCTCTGTTGATTCCCTTGTGTTCAGAAAGCATGCTTTGTGTTACCTTCTTATTAAATGTCTTGAGCCCTCTTGGGTGGCCTAACGTGTGACCTGTTTTGGAAAATGTTCCCACGTTGGAGAGCAATGTGCAATATGGTAGGTGGGTGAGCAAAGATGCCACCACACTTATTGAAATTGGTCGGTGCTCTCAGAGTGGCCATAAGATTTTCTGAGATGCCACAGTTCCAAAAATGTTGATTCTGCCCGTTGTTACCAGCTTGATGGTTGCTTCAGTGGAGAGACTAATTTTTGGAACTTCTTACTTACTCTKCCATGTCTCTGACCTCACGCCTCTGTTAGACTGCTTTTCAAAATCTATGTTTATCTATTAGATTTATTTTGCCCTTTTATTTATTTCCTTTCCTACCTGGATACAATGGTGTCTTTTTAGCTAACTTTTGATTATTGCATTTTTAGGTGGTTTCTAACATCTTGTGATCTATTATAAGAGCATCGTGCTGTTCAAAAGTAGGGACKCGAACTCCGATTATTTCCTCAGAATGTTTTTTCAGAAGCCAGGGAAGGCCGCAGAGCTCTGCGAAGTCCTTGTGTGAACTAGAGTGCTGTCCAGGTCACACGTGAAAGGGGGCTCTTCCCTCCCCTTGGGGCTCACAGTCGAGGGACTGAACCCCGAGTCACTGAGCTTTTCATTGCTGTGACTCAACTACCTGACGGAAACAACTTAGAGGAGGAAGGGTTCATCTTGGCCCAAGGTGCCAGTCTGTAGTCCAATGGCACTATTAGTTTGGGCCTGAGGCAGGACCCCATGGTGAAAGGTACGGGGGGAAGAAATTCTCAAGGCAGCCAGAGGCAGAAAGCGTTGGACAGGAAGGGAYCAGGGACAAGATATGGTCCCCAAGTCCAGTGATCTTCTTTCTCCAACTGTGCCCCACCTGCCTGCACTTCTGTCACCTCCCATTTGACCCTGTGGCTCTCATGGGTTAGGCCACTAATGAGGTCAGGCCCACATGATCTATTCACTTCCCAGAAGCCACACCGATGAGCATTATTGTGTGGGGGACCAAGCCGTCACACATGGGTCTTCAGAAGACACTTCATATCCAAACTGTAACAAACCTCTATGTATATAATTCTACTAGGAGGCGACAATAATTACAAGTGTCACATAATAGTTGATCAGTAAATAGACTGATGCATTATGATGAATGGTCCAATCATTATACTGTCATCATAATCACGGGCAAATGAAGCTACTGATCGGTGCAGAGCTAGCAGCTAAGTGCTTTGGGTGTCGGCCCCTCTGGCCTCCTATGATGGAAATGCTTTTCTCGGGCACATGTTTGGGGCAGTGGGGAAAGGGAAGACTTCTGAATGTTGTGTCCGTTTTCCTCCCCAGTGCAGTGTCACCTGTGGACAGGGTTACCAGCTGCGGGCAGTGAAGTGCATCATTGGGACCTACGGGTCAGCGGTAGACGACAGTGACTGTAACGCAGCCACCAGACCAACGGACACCCAGGTGAGTCCCCCTTGTCCACCTCAGTGACCAGCGTTGGGCATTGAGACGCCACAACATCCCAGGGGTTCAGACAGAATCAGAACCTTCTCCTCCTCTGTGGGACAGCAGTCAGGCCGCCACTTGGTTAAATCACCTGGATTTACTTATATGTTGTGTTTAGAGTCTGATATTTTGTTTCATTGCTTTTGTCCTTTTCTGGTTATTTGATATATATATCTGATTTTATTTTTATTTATTTTTGGTACCAGGGATTGAACCCAGGGACACTCAACCAGTGAGCCCCCACACCCAGCCCCATTTATATCTTATTTATAGACAGTTGCTTTGGGCCTCACTGAGTTGCTGAGGCTGGCTTTGAACTAGCAATCCTCCTGCCTCAGCCTCTCGAGCCACTGGGATGACAGGAATGCGCCACCACACCTGACTCTGACTTTATTCTAATCAGGTGGCAAATATTGGTTGACTTCCTTTTACCTGAACTTAGATTTAATTTTTAATGATTTCTTCAAAGAATTCAGTAACTAATGTCATGATTTCAGGCAGTGTGTGCTGAAGCTAGCTTGGACCCGCTCACCAGAGCCTGGGTCAATGTCACAGGAACTAGGTGAGCTGGAGATTAAATATAGCCATTATTTTAACATGAGAAATACAAATCTTTATTTAAGTAGAAGGTATTAAAGATGAATCTGATAAATACCTAAACTTATCGCTTCCTGATTACTTTAGTAGTCACTCTTGTCTATGCCCTCGGGCCGTTTGCCTCTGGTACCTGTGTGGGGGAAGCCCACTGTGCTGCTCAGCACCTTCCCGACTCTGGATTGACTGACGTCTCTTTTTAGATGAGCAAGTGGATCTATAATAGGACTTTAAAAATCATTTAGTAGACCCTGCCCTGAAGCCAGACATCTGAAAAGGGATTCCCATGGTATCACATTCTGCACTGACGAAATCCAGCCAGGACCATCAGGAGACACACAGGAATCTGATCTGGGTTTGCTCAGCTCAAGGCAGAAACAGAAAGAGTCACACAGGAAGGGACCAGGGACRAGATGTAGTCCCCAAGGCCAAGGGTTAAGGGAACTCTTTCTTTTGTCATTGTTCCTTTTAGATATCCAGGGCAGTAGAGTGTATTTGCACATATCTCATACACATGGAGTCTAACTCCCCATTCTTGTGGTTGGACMTGATGTGGGGTTTCCCTGGTCGTGTGTTCACATAKGAACAYRGGAAAGTTCTGTCCCATTCACTCCACTGTCTTTCCTGTTCCCATCTCCATTCGGTCCCTTTCATCCCCCCGTGTCTCAGCCAGTGACCTCTGCTCTCCTCCCCACATTGTGAGTCAGCCTCTGCACATCCGAGGGGACACTCAGCCTTTGGTTTGGACACTGACTCACTTCACTCAGCCCCACCCGTTACTGCAGATGCCCTCAGTGCCCCCTCTGTGTGGCCGGTCAGGACTGCTTGCCCGTGTGTTCTCATCCGCTCTCTAAATGTGTGATGACTTGAAGTAAACAGGTTTTCTCCCCTTTTGCATCTAGGACTGTGAATTCCCATCCTGCCACCCCTCCCCAGTGGTCCCAGAAACAAGGAGAAGCGCACACAATGTTCCAAGAACCCAGTGGCGATTTGGATCTTGGACTCCAGTAAGAAATAGATGGGGGGAGCAGGGAGGGCAGAGAGGACAGGTGTTCTCTGGTGGACGACGGGGGGTGGCCAGTGCCTGTAAGACCCTCCCTCAGTCCCCTGCTGCACTGTTTCCCTCCCACCCAGTGCTCAGCCACCTGTGGCAAAGGGACCCGGATGAGGTATGTCAGCTGCCGGGACGAGGACGGCTTGGTGGCTGAGGACAGCGCATGTGCTGCCCTGCCCAAACCGGTGGCCAAGGAGGAGTGCTCTGTGACCCCCTGTGGGAGGTGGAAAGCCCTGGACTGGAGCCCTGTAAGCCCTGACTTCTGAGGAATTGGGAACCGGTGGGGGATGGGCAGGGGTGGGGGATGGGCACAGGGGGGAGGGTGGGGGATGGGCAGAGGGGGGAAGGGCCCGGGTCCCAGTGTCAGTGGTGAGATTTTAGAATGGGGCTGAATTTGTGATGGAGTTATTCCACCCACTGTACAGCTGGTCAGGGGTACAAAAGATGCACATTTTTAAAAAGATGTAGATTGATTATCATGGGCTTGCAGACCTTCCTGCTGGGCTGGCTGGAAACCCCAGTCTTCCTGGAGACATGTCAGCGTGTAGTGGGTCCGCAGGGTGCAGGATGGGTGGGGGGAGAGTGCAAGACACCCTCTTTCTTTGAGTCTGGGGGCCTCCTGTGTACTGTGGTCCCTCAAAGTCAAGTGGGTCTAGTTCCCTGCCAAGAGTGGGAAGTGAGTATCCTCCCCCAGTGCCCTGTGCACACCAACCACCATCTGTGGGGTTTTTTACTTTTTCTTTGTTCCTTTTAGATATACATGACAGTAGAGTGTATTTGGACACATCACACATACATGGAGTCTAACTTCCCAGTCTTGTGGTTGTGCATGATGTGGGGTTTCCCTGGTCGTGTGTTTATATATGGACATGGGAAATTTCTGTCCCATTCATTCCACTGTCTTTCCCATTCCCATCCCCTTCCCTTCTCCCCATTCCTCCCTCTCCAATCCAGTAAACTTCCACTCCTCCTTCCCCGCCCCATGGTGAGTTCAGCATCCACACATCAGAGGGGACATTTAGCTTTTGGTTTGGGGGGATTGGCTTATTTCACTTAGCATGATAGTCTCCAGCCCCATCCATTTACCTGCAAATGCTATAATTTCATTCTTCTTTATGGCTGAGTAAATTCCATTGTGCATATGTACATTTCTGTGGGTTTTTATAAAAGTAGATGAACCTTTGTCTACAGGAAACTATTGCTTTCTGCCCTGAAAAAGTCATGGAGTCCAGGAAAAAGCTTAGCATAGGTGAAAAGGAAACATAAGGAATGAAGGTTATAGTAGTAAATATCAAAATATGAACATAAAATTGGAGGAGTCAAATAGAACTCTCTAAAATCCCAAACATTATGATTTACCAGTTGTATCATCCTAGGCAATTTCAATTCTCATTTTTCTTCTGCTCTCAAAAACAAAAAGAGCACCTACTTTGCAAAATGGCTGTGAGGGTTATTTGAGATTATAGATGGTAAATGCTTTACAGAAAGTAGGTCCTCAATAAACAGTGTCCATCCTTCAGTCCAGGCATCTGTCTGTCAGATCCTGGTGTTTATTCATCAGCTATTTGTGAAAGAGCAGCGAACCAAGAATAACAGAGTCCCTGCCTTATGCAAGAATATCCCAGTGGAGAAACCTGTCAGCGAACAAATAAAGCAATGTCTGCTACAGCAGCAGGTCCTGATGAGAGCTAGACATAGTCGAGTAGCGCCTGGCCTAGAGAGAGCCGTGAGCAGGACCTGAGTGAGGACAGTCAGCCGCCCGGGTTCTGTTTGGTGCAGCAGGATGCACAGCGGGGTGAGGCCCCCGAGCCGGTAGCTTGGAGTGTGCACAAGCACCCTAGAGGCCAGGGTGGCTAGGGCGTAGTGAGGGTGACTGAGAGGCGCTCATCAGGTACCCAGTGGTGTCCCCAGAAAGAGCCTACTAGGTCAGCAGAAGGACATTGGTTATTATTGTGAGTGACCTGGGAAGTCACTGGAGGGACCCATGATGTGACTTTTGTCCTAAAGGGTCATGTTGTGGGACCTRCAGACAGCAGACTCAGGCGGAGAGCATCAGGTCCTGAGCCTGGTTGAAAGGCCATCGCAATACCCCAGGGAAGGCCAGATCTCCAAGTCAGGCCACCGTCGCTGTGGCCATCGTGACAAGTGGCTGGATCAGGGACATACCTCGAACACTGAGTTATGGGACAGGAGGAAGAGAGGAGTCAAGGTCCATTCCAAGCCTCTGGGGCCTGAGCATCCGGGAAAGTAGTAGCCGTGTGCAGAAATGAACATGCGAGGCCTCCACCGCGCCCCCCAGTGACCACCCCTTTTTCTTTCTGAACATCCGACATAGTGCTCTGTGACGTGTGGGCAAGGTAGGGCAACCCGGCAGGTGGTATGTGTCAACTACAGTGACCACGGGATTGACCAGAGCGAGTGCGACCCCGACTACATCCCAGAGACCGAACAGGACTGCGCCATGTCCCCGTGCCCTCAGCGGACCCCGGACAAGGGCCTCCCTCAGCACCCCTTCCAGAATGAGGACTACCGGCCCCGCAGCCCCAACCCCAGCCGCACACACGTGCTGGGGGGAAACCAGTGGAGGACGGGCCCCTGGGGAGCCGTGAGTATCACAGAAGACACCCCTCACACACTGGCTTCTCTYCCTGAGGTCGAGTTTGGGGAAGGAAAGTTCTAGAAATGCCTCTGCACCTGTCTGCTCTTCCTTAGGGACTGGTGTGTGATTTMACGGGCTCTGGGTGAAGGCAATGTATAGTTAGATGTGTAGTTAGAGCCACTCAGTATGGTCCCCGAAAAGATGCTCTGGGAGGACTCACTCCTCAAAGGGGCAGGGAATGCATGGAGGAGCGGGTGTCACTGCTGGGTGACAGAAGCAGGTGGCCTCTTGGGCAGTATTGTGAAARCCAGAATGAGTCAGGCATCTCAGACCTGGAGGGAAAGAGCAGAGAGACTATTCTAAAAGGGAGTCCTTTTTTTTTGTTGTTGTTCCTTTAGATGTGCATGACAGTAGAGTGCATTTTGAGCTATCACACATACATGGAGTCTAACTTCTCATTCTTGTATTTGGACATGATGTGGAGTTTCATGGATCATGTGTTCATATATGAACACAGGAAAGTTCTGCCCATTCATTCCACTGTCTTTCCTAGTCCCATCCCCCCCTTTATTCTCCTTTGTCTAATGCAGTGAACTTCTTCTATTCTCCACCGTTATTGTGTGTTAGCATCTGCACATCAGAGAGAACATTTGTCCTTYGGTTTTTTGGGACTGGTTTATTTCACTTAGCATGATGGCCTCCAGTTCCATTCATTTACTGGTAAACACCAAAATTCCATTCTTCTTTAAGACTGAGTAATATTCCATGGTGTATATATACCACATTTTCTTTATCCACTCATCTGTTGAAGGGCATCTAGGTTGGTCCCATAGCTCAGCTATTGTGAATTGAGCCGCTATGAACATGGAAAGGGAGTTCTTAAAGAAAGTGGCTTTTCTTTCTGCCATTTTCCAGATGAATACTGTCTATAGTGGCATAGTTGCTGTTTCACTGGTATTAGATTAAAGAGGAAATACTCCTGTTAGATAACCTAAGTGCTGCTTGGGGTAGGGGAGCATCTTATTCCCTAAAAGTTAGCAGTGCGGGTAGACTGCAGATGTCTCCATTTGACCAAAAACTTGCACTTTCAGATTTGAGGGGGCTGAAGAGGTCCTCTCACCTGTGAGCCTCAGTGTCCTCAATTGTAAAGTGAGGGTACCATTAATTCCTGCTCTCTTTGGTAGTATGAATTAAAATGAAATGATCTGGGGGCAGTGGTGCACACCTGGAATCCCAGCAGCTCAGGCAGGAGGATCCCAAGTTCAAAGCCAGCCTCAGCAAAAGTGAGGCCCTAAGCAACTCAGTGAGACCCTGTCTCTAAATAAAATACGAAATAGCTCAGTGGCTGAGTGCTCCGGGGTTCAATCTTCAGTACCCCCCCMMAAAAAAGATTGCAAATGCCATGTGCAACTTGATAACTTGTAAAAATGACATAGCTCCCAGGGCCAGATGGTTATTTTGGAGGCAAACCCATTTTATAACTGAAGGGGCAGAGTAAAGGATGCAGGCAATCACTCTGGGTTAAAAGGGTAAGGAAATCAGGGAACACAAAACATTCCAGGTGCGGCTTCACGAGAGAGCTGAGCAGCTTGTGTGGGAAATGGGGGGGGGGAATGCCAACCTCAGCCATCAGCGTGTTAGACTGAAGTGCCCAAAGACAGGCTCCTCAAGACGAATTCAACTAGGTTCATTGGGGAAGTAAAAAAATTAAATGAACAAAACATATCTATCTTGTTCCCATGAAACCATTGAAGTCAAGGGGGCGGAGGGAACGTCAGCCTGCTAGGGAGTCCTGTCTCAATGACACTCCAGGCTGCCTCCTGCAGTAACTGAGTGAGGTCCTGGGGAAGCCTCATTTCAACAAGTGGCAATTCATTAAGCCAGTAATTTGACCTCTGTGTTGAAAGGGACGTCCAACGTTGGTTCCAAATAAACTCTCCAAATTTTGAAAAGAATCTCCAAAGGGGCTGGAGAGAGAGCTCAGTTGGCAGAGCGCTTGCCTGGCATGCACAAGGCCCTGGGTTCACTCCCCAACAGTGCCACAAAAAGAAGAATCTCCAAATAAACTATGATGTCCATTGACCCTCCCCTCCCCCACCCACTTCACCCCACCTTGCAGAGAAATTAAGGGCGACAATAAATGGGACTAATTTAGAAGTCTCATGAACTTGGGAGGCTGAGGCAGGAGGATCTCGAGTTCAAAGCCAGCCTCAGCAATTTAGCGAGGCCCTAAGCAACTCAGTGAGACCCTGTCTCTAAATAAAATATAAAAAAGGGCTGGGGATGGGGCTCAGTGGTTAAATGACCCTGAGTTCAATCCCAGTTACAAAAAAAAAAAACAAAAAAAAAAAACCCAGCTGCTTTGTCCTGGTTGCAGATGCTCAGGAACAGTTTCTGTCACATTGTCTGAGTTGCAGCCAGTTGCTGCTTGTCTCTCCAGCAGAGATGGTGCTGAGAGTTAACTTGTCACCCCGTGTGTTAGTGTTCCAGTACCTGTGCYGGAGGGGCCCAGCGGCGTGTCGTGGTATGTCAGGATGAAAATGGATACACTGCAAACGACTGTGTGGAGAGAATCAAACCCGACGAGCAGAGGGCCTGCGAATCCGGTCCTTGTCCCCAGTGGGCTTACGGCAACTGGGGAGAGGTGAGGACAAACCACCCGTCCCTGTTCCTCTGAAGGAATCCTATCATCGTTTGTATTATAAGGAACAAGAACCAGCTTGAATAGAAACTTCTGGGTTTGGGATACATTAGGAAACCTGGCTTCGTGCTGTTCTTATWTAAACAATTTGCTTATAACCAATAAGAGACAGCTTGAATACATACAGAAGGCAGATTAGGAGAAAATGTTGATAAATGCTGGTTTAAGTTATTTATTAACTAATCTTTGATGATTTTTTTTTTTTAAAAAATGGATGCTTTTAGCTGGGTATGGTGGTGCCTGCCTATAATCCCAGCAGCATGGGAGGCTGAGGCAAGAGGATCATGAGTTCAAAGCCAGCCTCAGCAATGGCAAAGCCCTAAGCAACTCAGTGAGACCCTGTCTCTAAATAAAATAAAAAATAGAGCTGGGGAAGTGGCTCAGTGGTTGAGTTCCCCTGAGTTCAATCCCTGGTACCCCCCCAAAATAATAATTGACAACATTAATGTTAAAAATCTTCATGATCCTTCATGGTACTGTTATGAAAGGGAGCTTGAGTCCCTGTTGCACTTAATGGTGGAGTTGAGAAGCTTCTGGTTTTGCGTTTAACCAAGAATACAGCCCTCTCCTGCTAAATCCACAGGAAGAGCACGTACTTAAAGCTCATCGAGCCGTTCTGTCTGGACTGTAAAATTTATGAAATGAAAAATGTCAGTTAGCACCTGGGAGACCCTGGTGCCAAGAGGAGGAATGAGAAACCAGCTTGCGGGCCCCTTGATGCGTGCTCTGGCTGAGGGCAGTGGCACCCACCTCCCCTGTTCCATTCGMGCCACCTGGTAGTGGCAGGCAGAGCAGGGGCTTTGGCTGACTGTCATCGACAGTTACCTCATCCTGGAGAGCTTCCCCGAAGGGAAGGGAGGGGGAGGGAGGCTCGGAGCCTGGTGGATTGTGGGTTTCCCAGAACTCCTTGCAAAACCCCTGTCCTCTGGGACCCGCGATTAAGCTTCTGTAATTGGACCCACACCAGCCRAGGGCAGGCATTTTTGGGATGTGAGCTGTCAGCACAGAGCGATCCTTCCAGATTCTAGGGAGATCTGGCCTCACACAGCAGGGGAACTGACTGTCAGGGTCCCTGGATGTGAGCACAGCAGTACTGTCCAAGAAATTCGACTTGTTCCTGCCTCAGAAGTTTGAGTCCCGCCAGGAGTCTGAGCCAACATCTCCCACCCCATTGCTTATTCATCCCAGGGGCAAGTCATCCTTGTCCTAAGATTGAGAGAGAGAGAGAGAGAGAGAGAGAGAAATACATTAGCATCATAAAGATCTAAAGAGATTAGAGTCAGAAAATCATCAGAGGTTGGTGACAGCTTAGAAATTGCCAGAAAATAGCTGGGCGCGGTGCTGCACGCCTGTAATCCCAGCAACCCGGGAGGCTGAGGCAGGAGGATGGTGAGTTCAGAGCCAGACTCAGCAATTTAGTGAGACTCTGTCTCAAAATAAAAAATAAAAAGGGCTGGGGGTGTAGCTCAGTGGTCAAGGGACCTTGAGTTCAATCCCCGGTACCTAAAAATAAAAAGAAGTTGCCAGAAGGTGGAGTCTGACTAAGGAAGTAGCTCAGTGGTAGAGCACTTGCCTAGCATATGTGGGGCCCTGGGTTCCAGGCACTATTTTTAAAAAATAAAATAACATGTTGGCCAGATAATAAAACTGGCTAGGTCATTATTTCCTTTATTTAATATTGAATAGTTTGGGGGTTTTTGTTTTTGTTATTTTTTTTTTCCTGGGTACCAAGGATTGAACTCAGGGACACTCCACCACTGAGCTCCATCCCCAGCCCTATTTTATATTTTAATTAGAGACAGGGTCTCGCTGAGTTGCTTAGGGCCTCGCTTTTACTGAGGCTGGCTTTGAACTCTCGATCCTCCTGCCTCAACCTCCTGAGCCACTGGGATTACAGATGTGCACCACTGCACCCAGCTTTRTTTATGTTTTTAGATTTTGAGTTTTACCCTAGCCATTTGTTCATAAATTAACTTTGATCAAGTTAATTGACTCCTTAACCTCAGTGGCCCCAAATATTAAGCGGGGCAAATGTTATACTCTGCACCTGAGGAGATAATGGATACAAAACCCCTCTTAGGTATGGGGAAGCCCTCAGTGAGCCACCCCTACCACCCAGGGAGGAGGACTTGGGTCCACTGTAAGATAGTATTGATGTGGTGACCGCTGGCTCTAGCTGTCAGAGTCACCTTGTCCAATGCTGTCATCGAGTTTGGCTAAGACAGGTTCCTTATGGGAAAGAAAATGTGTCGCTGCCATTCAGACAAAATCACCGCAATGTCTGCTGTCCTCTCTGCAGTGCACAAAGCCATGTGGTGGAGGGAGCCGGACKCGACTGGTGGCCTGTCAGCGGTCCAACGGCGAACGCTTCCCAGATCTGAGCTGTGAAATCCTTGACAAGCCTCCAGATCGTGAGCAGTGTAACACACACGCCTGTCCCCAAGACGCCGCCTGGAGTACTGGCGCTTGGAGCTCGGTACGGCCCTAACTATTCCTGTTTGTTCCCCAAACTCTCCAATCCCAGGGTGTTCTGGTGCGGTCCCTGCGACATCAGTGTCCCCTGATGAGTGTGTCCTAGAGGCCGTCCTGGGGAGTAGTGTGTCATCCTCTCCGAGTCACTGACAGTAGCATTAACATTTTTTGCGACATGGCCAGAGGTGACATCACAAGAATCCGTGTACCTCATACAGGACCTGGTGCCAAGAAGTAGCTTCCTTTTCTAGAAGAACCATGTCCCTAGATAGTGACAGCTCATTAGCAGACACTCTCTCCTTTCTAAGCTACCGTAGCGTTGACGCTGGGGGACCATTTCTGCTTATTGAGGCTTCTGCAGTTTTTTTTTTTCTTCAATGACTAATAGTTTGCTTCCCTGTCATTCGGGGTACAACTCAAACACAGTTGTCACAAAAAGCCTGGGCCCACCAAATAGACTGAAGTCATTATGAAAAGATGAATGACCCCCAGTGGAATCAGTGACCTGGGGCCTTTCAAGGTGTCTGGAATGTTCTTCTGCCCAGAAGCCTGTTGGAGACTTTTTTTTTTCGTCTGGTCTCTGCTCACTGCTCAGCCAGCAGCTGACATGGTGAGGCAGGTTTGCCACCGTAGGTGACACTCTGCAAACTTCTAGGGCAGCTCTTGGCAAACAGAAGGCTCAACTGTGTCCCATAWCACCTTGGCTAGCTTGTGCCATGAGCTATGGAGCCATTGCGGCTGGTTCATAGAGCTAGGGCAAACGTTCTGGTCAATACGTTAATTGCACTGAAGTTGAACTTAGTATTGTATCAGGTCCTATCCAGAAGGCCTTTTTTGTTCACTATGACTCTGAGGAAAAGATTTAAACAACCCCTAAACCAGCTGAAAAGCACATTCATTGAATTGACATGGTTGATACCTGTGGATGCTTCTGGAAACCAAGGTTTTCAGTGTCTGAGGTTGTGTCTGCAGAAATAGCTCTGTGACCACTGTACTTTTGTTAGGTGGAAATCTAGAAGAATTGAGAAGGGTTATCTCGACTGGTACTGTATCACTGAGCTGTATTCCAGAGTTTAAGAAATGTCACCCTGAGTCACATGGACAGTTCCCTGGGAGCACGTCTGTGTCCAGTAATGGCACCCTCCCCAGGTGCATGCTCTGAAGAGCACGAGAGATGACCTCAGGGTGTTGGGAACATCCCCACATGTCCAGCTTCCCTTATCACGGATTTCATGATATTTTCCATGAAATGTTCCCGCTCGAACTTATTCCRTTTTCATCTCTACCAGGAGTAACACCAACACCAGAGTCACATTTCAAAAAGCCTCCTAGCCCTCCAAAAAGAAATACGCCACCAGACATGGTGGCCCACGCCTATAATCCTATGGCTCTGGAGGCTGGGGCAGGAGGATCATGAGCTTGAGGCCAGCCTCAGCAACTCAGCAAGGCCCTGAGCAACTTAGAAAGACCTTACTTCAAAATAAAATAAAATAACAAAAAGGGTTGGGGATGTGGCTCTGTGGTAGAGCTCCCCTGAGTTCAATACCTGGTACCAAAAAAAAAAAAAAAAGAATGTCACTAATTTTCACCAAAAAAACATGAGACTCCTTGTTACATATTCCTGTAACTGGGTGAAAAAAAAAGAAAAACAGAAATTTGTATTTCCCATGCTCTAATTCCTTAGATTGTCCTGTATTTTTCTATGAAGTATTCCTTGGGAAAATGGCATCTTGCCAGGGTTCTATGCATGTGTACGTCCATGTACACACCTACGTACATAAATACACCTGTGAACATCCACACTTATGTACATATAGGTTAATTTCCACAGAATTCTCTTACTTGAATGTATTCTTAGTATGGCTTTTTTTTTTTTTCCTTCTCTGCACAGGATCACCACCCGCCCCCATAGATATTTTAAGAGCTTACATGCTTAAATTGTAAAATATGAACTGCTGATTATCTTAACTGAAGACATGACGTTTATTTAATATAGTTCTTCTTGGGCCTGTGTACGATTTTCTGAAATGCCAAGGAGGAGGAAAGAGGGAGAGAGAGTCAGACCCCAGTGCTCTGGCACTGCAGAACAAGTCGGTGGAGTTGTAAACTCTGTGTGCGGGCTGTGTGATGTCTAACACTCCCTTTGTACAGTGATCATTATCTGAATRTCTCTTTCAACACCTCTAATGTCTTAAGGGCAAGGCCACTTCTGCAAGGCTTTTAAGTTGTGATTTTTTTTTAAATTAAATCAAAAGTATTTTCTGGAAAAAGATACATTTGTAATATATTACTTTTCCTAACTAGATGTGTGAGAGGATAGTCTTTCAGATTCTTTTTTTTAAAAATTTTTTWAAAAAATTTTCCTCTTCTGTCTATTTCCATGGTGGTGGATGCTTTGGTATACAACATCTTAGTGATTCTGAATTAAGCATACCTCAATGAATGTGTTCATAGCCATAAAGTCACTCCTACGGTGCTTGATCATTGTCACCAACAGTGGAATTCACCATAAAAAGTACATTTGAGGCACTAATATATTGCTTTTAACAGAAGGCAACTTAGATTTATTAGAGTTTGGGAGTAGGAAAGGTGCCTGCAGGTTTTTTTCTCTTCCCAAGGACTTCCACACATAGACGCTCTCATGCCAAGAGTCAGCTACACTGAGTGAGGTGGCTTCCCCCAAGGTCAAAGGAAGCCTTCTCCAAGGTCGCAGTGGAGATAGCCTACTCCAGCGCTTGCTACTAAAGAGCAATATCTAGGTGAGAAAGCCCAAATCACTGTTATCTTTGGCTTCCAGAGTCTCCAAAATGAAGCTTCAGTGAACTTGAAGTTCAAGGGTCCACTTTAGACAGATGGTTGGCTCTGACTCACATCATTGCAGATTTAAGAATCATGATTCAGTCTTTTCTGTCCTTTTGAAAATATGTCCTTGGAAGCTGGGCAYGGTGATGCCAGCCTATAATCCCAGTGACTCTGGAGGCTGAGGCAGGAGGGTTGCAAGTTCAAAGCCAACCTCAGCAACTTAGCGAGGTCCTAGGCAACCTAGTGAGACCCTGTCTCTAAATAAAAAATAAAAAGGGCTGGGGAAGCATTTCTGGGTTCAATCCCCAGAACCAAAATATTGTGTGTGTGTGTGTGTGTGTGTGTGTGTGTGTGTGTCTCCTTGGACTCTCCCTTGGCCATGTTCATTTTTGAAATAAGGTTCTCCAACCACTGTGCCTTTGAGTGTACTCCTGAAGCCAAGAGGTAGACGTCGTGTCATGAATGCACATACCCCATGATTAGAACGGCAGATTGTAAAGAAAGCTTGATGCTCTCCAGCCAAAGTAGAAATCAGCTAAAACTCAAGAGCCATCTAGAGCAAGCTCACCCATCCAGATAGCTCACGCAGCAAGTTCTGCTGGGTGGTGCTATGGCTCCAGATGGTTCTATGGAGTTTCTCTGCTTGGCCCTGTGTATCTCCCTGCCAATCAACTTGGAGATGGTGGTTCTCCTTAGGAGACATGGCTTGTTGGGGTTTTTCGTGACCAACCTAAAAGTGTGTGTTCTCTGAGCCTTGCTTCAGGTGCTTTAGAATACTGCTTGTCAACCCTCATAATGAGAATTTATGAGCTCTTGAAGGATCATGCTTTGGTTTCTGCCTGGCCAACTGATGAATTGTGTCTACCTCATTTTCATGTTCAAGTTTGCAGCTTCCCGTAGGTAGGAAGAGAAAAATGTTTTGCATCAGTGTTTTATCACCTCATGACACCTGTCTCTAGAAGAAAATAAAGATTGTAAATAGCACGACCGTATTTCCTGGACAGTTTTAAGCAGCCACACCTAGTATTTTCTGAATATTTTGAGCAGTACAGATTTCTATGTTTATATAATAAAGCATATTTATTTTCCATGTTATTTAATTTTATATACCATGTTTAAAAAATCAGTGTTTATGAGCAGACTGTAAAGGCAAGTAGGCTGTGTGAATTAGAAATGAATGTATATGTTTCTTCCGGTTTTAAAAAGATACATTTTAATTTTGTAAATTCCTTCCAACCTGTACTACTACACCCTTTCCCCTCCAATCTGTGTAGCCAAGAGTCAAGCTTTATGTAATTGGATAGTTTCAAGTTGTGTATTTTTAAAGAGATACTTTCAAAAATATTTCTGAATTGGAAATGATACTTAGTTACATAAACAAAAAATATATGAGGCTTAACAATTTGTTGGGTATTTTTTCTTTTCCAATACTGTTGTCCTGATTCATTGAGTTTCCACTATGAAATATGAATGCTCCATTTGTTGAATTTGTAGATCATGATAAAACATAGCCAGAAGATTTAAAAAAAAAAAAAAACTAGTTAGGAGAAATTGTTCTGAACACATAAGAGAAGCTAGGTACAGGAAAAAGCAAACAATGTGCATAAATTTGATCGCACCTTATTCTTTGTTCATATAACTGCCAAAGGCTTTATAAAATTTGTCAATTTTGYTTCTTGTTTACCTACAATATAGTTCAGAAAGCATTTCTTATTTAAAAAAATATTATCCCAATAAACTGGGAAGTCTCAAGAGAGCCTACCTTTTGCAAAAATATATATTTATTTGTAAACCATAAAAATGAACCAAAAGGCCTATGGGTAACTAGTTCCCCTCCGGAGCCTCCATATTGCCCTATAGTTGACTATGATCCTTGACTATGAAAGGACTGAAATAAAGGAGTTCCTATGAGCRTTAGAATATTTTTCCTAAGGTACCAAAAAACATTCCAAAAGCAAATGATGGTAATACTTAAATTCTACTGAGCATTTGCTATGTGTCTTGTCCAGTGTACACATCACATCAACCAGGATACCCTGGGGAGGTGCTGTAAGGAAGTTTCTAGATTACGTGATGATCTGTGTTAGTGAGAAGACCTCATGTCAGTAGCTTGACTGTATTAATCTATTAACCCTATTTCAGTGGGGGAAAAAAAGCCCAGATTTCAGAATGAACTTTTTTTTTTGGGGGGGGAACAAGGAT